GAAAAAAACTACAAATTTAAATATAATTTCTGAAGAGGCAAAAGTTCACGGTTAAATCGCCACGTGTTTTTTTTTGCGTATTAGCGAAATGATAGGAATTATGCAAGCGACGCACTTGAACTTCGCAAACGTGCAAAATGATATAACGAGCAGTATACAATACAAAAATATTAACTGCATTATACAATACGTCGACAGATAAAAGTAAAGCTTTATCTTACAAAGTAAATATTACATATCATTTACGTATCGTATAATTTTCAAACGATTGAAGTCTTATTAATCAGCGCGGCGCAAATACGACGATAAGATAAATGAATCATCGCTATCAATTTCACGGTAACAAAATTCAAGAAACTACAATGTTTGTTAAAATGTGTCACGCAACACGTAACGCAGAGATACAGAATATAGAACGTACATATAAAAAGTATAAGGAATATAGAACATAAAATATTTGAAAAGATAAAGCTGATCAATGCAAATAACGCAAATTATATAAAGATTAGATATAAATTAAACAAATGTATATATTATTAATTTTATACGCTACTAAATTTAAATACGCAATTAGCAATATGCATTCATTTTTGCTAAAAACATGTGATAATGAATGGTTGTAAAGATCGTGCAATTACAAGTTTTAAACATATATTTATTATTTATTTCTCGTGATCCGCACATTCACACAGACTCTTAGAGATTCTTACGTCTCGCGCGATTCATATATTGTTTTTTTTCTTGCTGTTGTTTCTTTCTCTTTCTCTCTCTTTTTTTTTCTCATTTTGAGCGGCGTTCAGTAAAAATAATCTTATCCAAGCGGTAACGAATGACACTTGATTTATGCAAATCTGGAGGTATCAAAATATTTTCTATACGTCACAAGGAAAAACGATGACACTTCTACTTTTTCTTTTCCTGCTTTTTCTTTCGGAACGCAGTGATTCTTTTTTTTTTTCTTCTCAAATCTGTCCCCCGTCCACCCCTTATCGTTCTCCCACTCCCTCTTTCTCCCTATAGTTTTATTTTTCCCTCTCCGTCGTACGGTAAGTCGGAAATATTTAAGGCCGTGTTTACTTATCTCGCAACATAGGAAACCACGATGTGTGTGTTTGATCTTGCGTACAGTAACTATCGGACTACTTTTACCCACCGATCATCGCGGCGATTGTAAAACTTACAATTAGAGCGATTCCTCTAATCTTAAAGTAGTACAAGCACAACGCGACGGATACGGTAGAATGCACCGGGCATCTCAGAGAAACGTGTGGATTTTCTTTCCCACCCATGTGCATTTCTTTCCGGTACCCGTGTCGTTTTGCTTGCCGATCTCGGATTTCTATCGGCGGCGAAAGAACGCCACGAGTCGTTCCATATAAAGCCATATCCTTACATTCTACGTACACATATCGACGATAGATTTTTTTTTATATCTTTACACATATAAGCTCATTACAGTTACAGAAACGTCCTAAATTCTGCTCGATGTACTGTGCGATGTGTATTCTCCCCGTTCTCCTTCAATCCCTGTTTCTCACCACTTAGACACTACCAAATCTTTTCTGACTAGTACATAATAATCCTATTCAATAAATTAAATGTATATATGCTAGACATTTTTTGTAGTGGTAGCGTTATTTTTCAATTTTCATCACTATGCAAATGGTGAGATCAGTTTTCTTATAGTACCGTTTTTATCAAGATCGTCGGTAGAAGTAAATATTAATTCACGTGGAAGAGATAATATTCGCAGGATATGGACGCAAAATTTGAATCGATAGTAACGAAACGGAATTAAATCGCGAGATACGTTCTCACATTTCAATATTTTCGTAAAAATATGCATTTAATCCTTAAACATAAATCACTTATCTGTGAGACGAGCGCAAAAGTGAAAATAAAATACGACCAAAAGAGATTTTGTAAAACTTGTCTTTTGCTGTCCGTACGTTGTTCACCGGTGAGGTGTTCATTTATTTTAAGCCTCATGTAAATAAGTTCACAAAAACTATTGTAATGTTTAACGAAACGTATGCATGTTAATGATAAAGCACGTGTGCAACGTATGCAAATAAATAAATGTCGACAGTTGAGCAGTGAAACAAATTTCAAATCATATTTATGCTTAAAAATTAGTATTTTTATAGAACTGCCTGACTTTTTTGTGTATTGATACTAAAAATCTTGTGAGATACAATAGACCTTTTTTTTATAAGGACAAGACACAAACAAAATAACATAAATTAAGCGTAGATTTTACACTATTTTATACTATTTCGATAATTTTCTTGCGCTCATCTTACAACTAGGATGCCGTGTAAAAAAATGCCTATGTTCTTTTCTTCTTTATAAAATAAAAGGCACCAAGTTTCCTCTTTGCCAAACGTTCAGTTTGTTTCTAGGAAGTTGCGTATCTTCAGGAATTCAATAAAATGCGAGTTAGTTCCTGATCTAGTAGGAATCCATTGCCTACTATGTCATTATGCAAAAAGATATTTATTCGGATTCAGTAAATTACTGTTGCTGAGTCAGGATCTCGAGCATTATTATCATTATCGTCGGCATTAAACTGCGACTTTTCTTCAGTGCAAAAATTATATACATCTGATACTTTGTAATAGAGAAGTGTGATACTAATTCAGTATATAATGTTGCAAGCTATGTAAAGAATACAATTCTCATAAGCAATCTCGTCATTCCTTTCGTTCAGTTTCCCGTAATTTATACGCATATTAACGAATTAATAAGAGTTTGAAAAATAAAGCATTTGCCAATGCTCATTATGCTAAAGTCACAAAAAACAAGTCAAACAGTTGTGAATTAATCTATGCAATGGTGCACTTTGGTTTCGTTGAGAACCTGCGCGATTACACGCATCTATATCGTACGGAATATTAAAAATATTTTTACATTCATATACATATATCAATTGGATTTTTCGCCCGTAATGCAGGCTTACTCGCAAATTACGTAAATGTACAGTCCACCTAAAGATATACATTAAATCAATAGTTCTAGTTAAGTAAGATAATTATATCATGGAAAAATGGACGCGTTAGATTATTACTGCTTTGGTGCTACATTATAAATAATTAGGTCAATGCCGATTTGATTTATCTCTTCCTTATGTCTTCGATGTTCAAGAAGCAACTCTACAAACGTACGGATATATGACAATTCGTTATAAATAAAATGACGTAAGATTAACTTCATGTTCGAACAAATAAAAACGTGTAACGCAACCACGCTGTTGCGCAACATTCGCAACCGCGCAAACATATATATATATTAAATCGCCTTAAATAATTTACAAAAACAAATGAAACTCAACATACAAAACTTTTGCGATATTGGACTTACATCTATTTTTTATAATACAAAAGACTATTAGAATGCCTATGGATATAAAACATATACCGACACATATTTTTATTATAGATATCGTCAACCAATTTTGGAATATCGAGCGTAATTGAAGACACTCTTGTATTATATACTTTGATATACGAAGATACGCGGTTTCTCCTTTAACTTCAACAACATGCATTCCATCTGTTATGTTAAAACATGTATATTCAATGTATAAGACGCATGTGTGTACGACTGCATATTCCACCAGTAAATTAAAATGATCTCGGTATATTTGCATCTTTCTCTCTCCTTTCCTTAGCAATTTTGTACTATTCATTTAATTATACTGAGAGAATAGCAACGGACTGCAGTGGAAACTGCTTTCAGACAGACTTCCACACAGAGAACTCGATGTTCAATCAATAAATTACGTTAAAAAATATGAATGTCGGATATATGTGTAAGCTTTAAAAGTTTATATATTGTTACAGCAATCTAAATTGTTTTCTATTCCGGTAGGAATACTTTTGACATGTTACCGTCGGCAGGGCGGATTTTTGTAATTGGTTGCGGGTAATTTGTGCAAAACAAAATTCGCGAGTGTAAGGTAGATGTTTTATCTCGTAAGATACTCTGATTTTTCGCGTCTTTGTTTGCACAAACTGATATTCATTTCAAGCCCACTCAATACAGTTTTCTTCAAACATTTCGTCAACTAATTTAAGAAAGACATTGTTACAACAAATGGATATGTATGTTTTAACGCACTCCTTTGACATTGCTGTTGCATACGAATTAATTTAGGTAGAAGTAAAATTTAAAACTTTAATTGAATGTAAAAATCTGTCTTAAAAAATATTGATTGTACATTATAAATCACAAAAAATATTATATAAAAGTAAATTAACTTTCATTTAATAAATGCATCATTAAGTAATCAATGGAAATCATGATTGAGTGGGCTTTCCATATGTCTAGTAAGGGCATGACAAATTCATGGTCCCGTATATTCATTTTTTTTCCCCCAAAGATGTTTTGACTAGATTTGATATATACTAACATACTAAACATCGTGCCAGCGATACCTTAAACCTGCGCCGTACCTGTTAATGAGACAAGGCTTCGCGGAATACAATACAATATCCCTCCCCCCTTTTTATATCTTATATCACACAGACTTACTTAAGTTGTATACATCGTGGGCATTATGCAAAAATCCTCTTCTTATAAGTCGTAATTATAATCTGACGTTATATAAAATAATAATTTACGAGACTAGTGTGCTCTTGTATGTAGGCCTGCATGCTTTCGTGCTATCCCCGCATTTTTGTGTGCTACCGATTTACTCACAAAACTAAAGAGCGTAGGCACGCAGTTAGCTTAGCTTCGTACGTTTCGGTTGGCTCGCATTAGATGCATCTGAAATACAATTTCACAATTAGTATTAAATCAATTTCTAAGATAGCTGAAAAAAATAAAATTTTACTAAGGATGTTAAATGAACATTGTGCGCAATAAGATTTGCCTTACCTCCATTAGATGTTGCTCCAAAGTTACTAAGTAAAGAGCAATTTTGAGTTTTCTGAAATTAAAATATAATAAAATTTGAAAATCTTTTATATAAAAATACTTTCAAGAAAGGCTATAACAAAAACTAATTAAATTAATATAAGTACACAGGAAATGCAATGTAGTATAAATATTGCGATAATAAATATGCTAAAATATACTAACATCTCCCATTACAGCTATTGGCGTAGTCCCGGTTGCGATAGCGACTTGATGCTCTATTAAATAAAACATGTATTCGTCGTAAAGTAATCTGATGAGATGAAAAGATCCGAAACTCGCCGCGCTTCTCAAAGTGAGATCTCGGATAACCATCGAGCTATGAAAAACAAAATGTAAATGTTATTAAAAATGTAAAACAAATATATTTGATTAATGTAATAAAAAATAAGAAATACCTATAAAACGACCATTTGAGCAAAAATTGACGTGCAGCTTTAGCGAACGTTGGTTTCTCTTCAAATGGTTTAAGCACTTGAGTAACAACACCTTTCAGCCAGATTGCCCAATCCTCCAGTGAATTTTGTTGCTGTAATGTTACTTTAAAGTCTGCCTCGAGACGTTGTACCATTCCGTAATCACATTGGCATACCCAGGACGCCTAAAGAGATACATACGCATAATACATACTCATGAATTTACTTGATGCATATATGTTAAACGACTTAAAAGAACATTAATGACCACTTACTTGTTCTTGTACATTATGAAAGTCAACGCGGTTCAAATCAGCTAACATTTGATTGATTTGACTAGAATTTTGAAGTACCGCCCGCGCGGCCTGTGCGAGATGATTTAATGATGTATAGCGCCTTAAAGTTTGAGCAAAAGCTGACACCGCAGTTAACTGCAAACAATAATTATATTGTATAATTTATATATAACATTACTATTATTACATATATGATAATAAAATTGTGAAAATATATTTAATGATATTATTATACAACAAATAAGAATGTGATCTTTAGTCAAAGGAACGTGTGTGAACTCTAAATAATACCTTAATTTGCGTCATTTCCTGGGGACAGTCGGCCATTGCTGATTGTAACCAAGATTCTAGTCCTTTCGCAAAATTCCGGATAGACTGTGTCAATGAACCTAGCAAAGAAATATTTAATGTATAAATCTGCATAATAAACAGACAGAATAATAACAGATTTTGCAATACATACTTGGTATTGGTCGCAATACATTAGGCATTAATACTTCGACTAGATTCTGATAGAATGTATAGTCCACTTTTTTAATAAAGTCTTGTACCTCTGTACACTTACACATCTGATATAGTTTAGTTCTGAAAAATAAAAAAATATAATGTTAGTTGTGACATGATTAATATGACTTATACAAATAAACATTTATAAGTAAAGTACTTGAAACGTTAACAAAATTTAAATATTTTACTACCTTTTATATTAAAACGTTAATAATTAAATTTTAATACTTTACCATTCTTCTCAATTTAAAGAATAAATATTACTTAAAAATGAACTAAATTTAATTCTCGTGTGATATAAATTTCTTTAATAAATATTATGTGTCTTACTTTGATAAATACTTCTCCTCTTCGCACTCATCACCATTATTATTGTCCTGGCTGCGCCAAAATTCCCTCCAGAGACTTTCCACCGTGGCAAATTCGAAATTTAGTACTGCGTCTAAAAACGCTTCGCAATGTTCCCTGTATATGCTGCGGAACGTATCGATGTCTTCGAGCGTGCAATCTTCAGGCAAAGACGAATCGTGAGTGATAAAGATCTCTGGGAAATCGGGAATGGCGCCGCTCGCTCCGCCGAGATACTGATGATATTGCGGCGGCGAAGAGTTGGAGGAGATATTTGTATTGACGTGCGTGTTATTCTCATAGGACGACTCCTGCTTTTGATTGACGAATTTAAATCGCTTGGTTTGAGAGTTTGCGCTCTGCTGTTGTCTTGACATGCCATCCTCATTCAACATAACTAGAGGCGAACTTGGTTTCACGCGAATTCCATAATAATGATATTTCGAATTTCCCCTACAATCAAAATAACAATGTAGCGAAAAATATAAACCATCATGTTTTTCGAACATATATATTATTACGCAAATTAATTTTGTTGCAGTAAATTATTACAAAATCCTTTACCTAGTCCCTAAGCGCCTAGTTCTCAATCCTAAGAACACAGATCGTATCAATTTTCCAAAACTGGCTGCATTTACGGGCTCTAATTTGCTTTCGGAACAATGACGTAGGTAATGATTGTAAAGAGTCGATCTCGGAAGGGACACACCATCAGCGGTTTCGTAATTTTCCAATAACCATTGCACCTAAATCGACATGCATGCTCGATTAATATTCATATTTTGTAAATACCGTATGTTTTAAAAACATAAGAAAAATGAAAATATTTTGCTTCGTTAAACATTCATATAAAAGATGTCAAACACATTTCATTAAAAAATTGAAATAAAAAATTGTACTACAGAAAAAATATCAAATTGCAAAAATAAATTCTGATTAATACCAAATAATTGATTAGTCACAACGATTTTCGAAAAATCTATCGCGACTGCATAATCACGTCTCGTTGGAAAAGAGCTTAAAAATGAAATTATGCACAAAAACATATTAGAGCGATATCTTACATGAAAAAACTTAACAATTAAACTATGCACAAAAAAATATACTGGAGCGATATCTTCAAAGCAATCTAATTAATAATAGACATGCTAAAAAAATTAAAAGAATAATGATTAGTACATCAGATGAGCTAAAAAAATTGGGGAATAGGTCTTTTCTTACGGTGGCCTGGGAGACTCTAGCGGCATGCGTCATGTTTGCAGCCGCGGCTGCTGCCTCTTCCACGGTGACAGTAGTACTTCCAGAATTACCGCTGATCAAGTACGCCCCGCCACCCCCGCTAACCACCGCCTCCTATCAAACAACCCAACATGCCTCGTTAACCCCCGAATGAAGAAAAGAAGTTTACCTCGAGTACTAATTCGCAGTTATATGTCTGCAAACTTTGCACTGAAATTCGTAAATGTAAGTCATCTCAAAACTTGCAAAAAAAAAAAAAAACTTACGGTACAATTTTTTATGTCCCATACGATCATGCAGAGCACAGGTCCCCATGCCTGCAGAGATCAGGCGTACGTACATACTTCAGGTCGCGATCATTCAAATGTAATCCGAGACTAATTTACTCAGCTTCTAGAAAGTGAAAGCAGCCTGAGGAGTCGCGGGACATGCAATCTTACCGCCGTTTCCGTCTGCGGACTGGCGCGCGCGGATATGAGCGCATGAGTGGTCGGGTCGCTCTCTACTACACCCTGCTGGATCAAGTACGTGCCATTGCCCTGTGATAATAGTTGTCCAGTGGTTGTATTCGAGCCTTGTCCCGTGACCTAACGCAATATCGCTGACATTGTAATTATCACACTCGCTGATCGATTGTAATTATTCGGATGTCAAATTCACCTGTGCATATGTTACTGGTGTTGTTCCTGAAGTGTAGTATTGACTTGAGCCTGGAGTGTACATCGTTCCCGCCTCGCCGACGGCATAAACAGGATATGTCCTGCGGAGAATTAAATACAAATTTTAACACACTTTGCAAGTGATAAATAACTCATAGATCAAATATACGAGATTTCAATAACTTACATCTGGCCATTCGCTGGTATATACGTGGAACCATCCCCCTCAACATATTGAACATAGGTTGGATGAGAAACCGATTCGGACCCCACCGCCTCTCCGTCACCGGACACTGAAACAAAATAGATACAATGGTTAGATATATTTGAAAACATACAGTACTTGTATCGACACGTAAAAAAAAAGCTCTAGTATAAATGCAAAAAAAAATGTTAAACACTGCTGTGAATTTTAACATACTGCTGTAAAAGAAATCTTTGAAAACTTCCTTAACGTTTAAAATGCTTTGGCATTCGGATAAAGTGAGAGCAGTTTTGCTGAAAGTATTAAAAAATTCTAAATTAGTTGTATTTGTTTATTACAAACGCTTGAATCCGATAGACAAATTAAATAGACTGGATAAGTTAGATGCCGAAATAAGGATGCAGGTCACTGATCTTGTAATTCTACAAAATTAAAATGTACAGATAAAGGATATATAACATGCTGTTTTATATTCTGCCCTCACCTACAGCCGTTGTGAGGGACGCGTAGGATGGCGAATCACTGGTGCCTAGTGTAGTCAGAGTAGAAGTACAGAGGTGCATGTTTTTCAGCAGCATGGAAAGGGCCATATCTCTACTCAAACACTATAATTTTTCCAACTGATCCTCATACTCACCGCAAATAGTAAGTTAATTTGCAATTATTGATATTAATGTCTATGCTTACGCGAGCGGATATCTACAGTTTAGCGTGTGACTGTTTTGCAACTTGATGCTTTGTAATTAGAGATGTGCGCATTGCAATAAAGTAAGGATCTTCAATATCTGACGGTACTTTTATATTCGGCTATTACCTGTGACTGTAATGTAGTGCGGGGAATCACTGACGATAGTGCCAGCTGACGTCGAAGCAGCGTCAGAGTCCACTAGAGTATGCTGGCCTGAGTGAGTAGTATTAACTACTACTTGTGCTGTAACATGTGCCGATGTACCTGTCGAACCGTTGGAAGAATCTGCAGCCGTTTCAAGCGAATCCTGAACCAATAACTAAATCATTACTTATAGTATACGTGTTCTCAAAGCCCACGGTTTATTTTGATAATAAAAACAAAAAATTATTTATGCCTTTTACATAAATAAATACATATATTTTCTATGTACAGAACTGATCTAGATTTTATTTGACATTTGTGTGTATCACTGTTATCAGCTATTAAGAGCAGATGGCTCAAACATGTTATCAGATTGGATGTACAGCACCAATAGAAGTACACTGCAAACAGATGCTACAGTATCTACCAAAAATCACATATATATTGAATAATTTTGTTACATTTTCATTATATTATATTTTTATCTATCCCACAATAATAAAATAAATAACAATTGTGAAGAAAATAAATTTAATTGACATTGTTACATTTAATTAAATTTACTCAAACACGACATTTAATTCAATCAGTTTGACATGTGTGTCTTATAAAATATTAAGATGATAATTTTCACAATTTATAAATATAATTACTGATCTTCTTCACAAATTGTATTAGCAAAAGGCATAATGTGTCAATGATACAAAATAATATTACTAACCTGGATAGGTTGCAGATTATTTGGACTGGAAGGATCAGGGCTTGTTACAACAGTGATAAGCTGCTGGCCTCTGGCTGACTGACTCTGTGCTCCGTTACCATTGCCACTGGAACTGGAAGTAGTAGTCACGACAACCACACTTGGCTTAGATTCTACCCCTACCGCTGCGGAGCTACCCCCACTGTTATTAGCCCCGGTGGATGCTGCTGCGAGGGCATACTGGGCTCCTGTCGTAGTCATGGCAATCACTCCTTCACCTCTCTCTACACCCACTGCGTCACCACCACTGCTACTACCTCCCCGCTGCTGGAGAGACGAGTCTATAACAGAGATATACACATATACTTTCTCACTAAATATCAATAACATCTTCCCACCAGACTCAGCGCAGAGATCTTTAAGAACAATGTACCTCCACAATTCCACTCAACATCAATTCATTAAAAGGATATTTTCTCATCATTATGAAATAAGATACTATATAGGATTTATTATTAAATATAAAGACTAAGAATATTTACAATGTGAAACATTGTTCTAGCATTGTTCATGATAATTATATTTCACAAAGTATTTTATTCTCATATTATATTGTACAATCCACATAAGTGATAGAATTGTCAAAATTGTTCATATTATACCACTAAGGAAAATAACTTTATTATATACTAACACTCATTATTCAAATCTTATTATAAACAGACTTCTCAAGAATATTTTCAACATAACTAAACTATAAAAGTCAATAAACTTTATTCATCTTGAAGCGCTAGTGGTGGCAAATTTGTCGATAAATCAATTCGCTGCTAAAAAATAGAAAGGACTATTGAGTTATAATTAAAGCAAGATTACGGGTTAAGAATGTGAGAGATTCCGCCGGTACGCGGATGTTCTCGAAATTTCAAGCTCGCACGCTTGAGTACAGCGTCGAAACGACAATATCTAAAAAATTCCACCCGCGTTCCGGCAACCATCCTAACCTATAATGCAGCGATATTTCAATAACGTACTTCCTCGCAGGTGTGGCGTATGTAATAATCCGCAGATCAAAGGGAAGCCCCAACGAGTTCGCGATACAAATGAAACACGTCACTGCCATTATTACGCGCGTGTATCATGGTGTATTGACACCGTTGTACCTGTTGGGGTGGCAGGTACCAAACACAATGTATCAAGGGGAAGAAATCGCCTTGGGGTTGGGAGGGGGATGGGAGGAGGTAAGGGGTGCCCCAGAACGCGCGCTACCCACGCGTGACTGGACACACGGCTCGCTTTAAGGGGGTTGAACATATCAATGAAGACGGTTAGATCACGAAAGCAATTAGAGAGCATTATACTGAGTACTACATCCCCTCTTTTTTGTTAAACATGGACCAGGGCGTGCTTATAAAGTACGATACACATTTCTCTTCTAATCGTATTCTATCGAGAAGAATCAGAGAAGACAAACACATCATCCCCCATCTGTTACACATATTTTCCCTGTAAACTTTATCATAAACATAAAATATCATTTTTTAAATTACTTTGTTCTAATGTTAAAGATATAATAATTAGTCACTGTAAGATACAGAATGTGTGTGTTATATTTTGATAAGAAAATCATAACATTGTTATTTCATGTCTTTAATTAGGAGAATTGTGTAACAAGATCTGATACTTCCTATGTTTGATATATTAGCTCTGATTAATATAGAACACAATACTAAATGAACATAATATTTGCCCTGATGCGGAGCCTAATTAAGGATCAGACTCATGATGCTATGCGAATAAAAATAAATAAAAATATATACTTTGATAATCATTTTTATACTATGATAATCATTGATATTTTCTAACTCGTATATCTTTCTTATTTACTCTTCAGTCTAAGCAAACATTTGGAACATTTATTATATATATATATTTTTTAAATATATTTATTTTATTTTTAGACTTAGAGATATCTTATATAGCATTTGCTGCAAATGTTGCTGGTAGACTGATATGATAGTCACCTACACACATAATATCATAAGTGCACCTGGCCTCTGTTATGCATGGCTGATGGGGAGAAAAAACTTCTGTTCTCTAGTCTCCTTTTTATCCATACAATACATTTATGTATCCAATACTCAATTTCTTTTCATGTAATTTAGACAAAAAAATATTAAATCCACTACAAAATTACTTTTCTGTATATTAATATAAATTTCTTAAACCCAATGTTCTATGGAAATAACAGTGCACCTGGAGTCAGACAAACTTATGGGGTGAGAACTTATGCAGATGTTGAAAAGTAAAATGGTAGAGATAAGAAATAGATAGCACAAAATCAAATAACAAATATTGCTAGAAGAAAAATTATATCAAAGTGTGAATCATCAAAAAATTGAATATAGTATAGTTTATAACAAATATACAATACTATTTACTTAGATTTTATTCTCGACACGTTCAAACAAAGTAATTTTGAAATAAATTGAAGCAAAAATGGCTGAAAAGATCAATATACTCATTAGTTTGGGGATATGAGCTAAGCTCATAGTTGAAAGATCACATTCATGTAATTGATAAATCCATCTTAATTGGAAATCCTTATATAGCTTCTCTATATTAGATGCCCCATCGATACTACAATAGAATCACTTATGCGATACAAATTAGGGGAATCTATAGCGCTAGAGATTTGCAAAGGTCTCAATCTGTTATAAGCTACTTTAAGGCGTGATTAGTATTTGCTGTTTATAACATACGAAGAATTGAAATTATTAGTCATAAAACTACATCACATAAAAAGATCCGAAACAAATGGCTGATTTGTTTCGGATCTTTTTATGTGATGTATGTGACTTTGGCTTTATATGTACTATTCTAAATAAGTTCAGTTCTATAAAATAAATTGCACTACCCAAGAATATTCTGTAGACGTTACTTACATTGCAAACAAATTTGATGTGATGTGCTTTGTGCAAAAATTTGCATCATCTAGTGAGTAGCATTTCATTCTCTACGCTTACTCTAAGACATAACATTCTAATAAACGATTTACAAGTCCTTAGAAGCTGCTCCATCATTTATCCCTACAAATCTGCCTGCAAATTGCACCAAGAAGGGTGTCAAACTGTTAAGAGTATGTTCGGTGAGCGACAACGGCGACGTCTCCGTCGGCCTGGCGGACATGAAAATTCGATGATGACGGAGACGAACCGGATCCGTCCGATTTCTTTTTCACTCACCTGTCTTCATGAATGGCGTGTGCACGAACGCAACGGCGCCCGGGCGCACTTGCGCGGCCGAACGACGTGTCCCCCCGTCGTCGTCGTCGTCGAGCGGGCGCGCTCTATCTCTCTCCCTCTCTCTTCCACGCGCACTCCTTTTCTTTCGCTCGTGTTCGTCGCTCCCTCGGTCTCGAAGGCGGTAGCGGCCTGTCACCCAGGAAACCGCGCGTCCGCGATCAGCTTGTAGGGCTCACGCGCTCGCTCGCACGGCACCGGCACAAAGCGCGAAAAGAGCGGAGCGACACACTCCGACGAACCTCTATACTTTGTTGTGGACGGCTGGCCGGAGTAGTGTTGCTTGTCTGCTACTACGGTCGCCTTGGCTACGGCATCACTGACCGCGTCACGATCAGGGCCGTAAGTGACATTTACGGTGCCACTGAACTTCCGTTGCGGACAAGATTATTCTCACCACGTCGTTCCAGCTGATTTGCATTAATTTCATTTCACTTCTCTTATCACACTTATTTGATATGCGTTAAATAATTTAAAGCTTAAATAAATATAAATTGTTTTTATAAATATAACTTATAAATTATTGAAAAATATAACGTATAAATTACCGCTTAATGAAACATACATTATACATATTATACATATTACATATGATAAATCTCCATAACTGCAAAAAGATTTATAAAACATTATTGGCTCACAAAAAATTACGTCAGCATAAAATAATTTCAATAGTTGTTTATAAACTAAAATATCATTTTTTATCTTTAGTACTAATTTTAAAATAATTTTATTGTAATTATCATAATATAAATTAATATATTGAAATTTTCTTTAAAAATTAAAAAACTCTTTAACTACTTACCGTACAAAAAGGTTTGTAAAGATTTTAAAATATATATATTTCGAAATTCGCGCCACAGAAAGGCGTATTGCAAAAACTTCGTGCAATTTATAAAAGTAATTGCAATAAGATGCAATTGCAATAACTTCTGTACAAAACTATTGCCATTAAAAACAACACAATAATGTACGAATTCTTTTCGAACGTTGCTTACGTCGATGGAAAGCGCGTGTCATAATGCGGTTTTTCGGCTCCATGCATGGCGCGCGCAATAAAGCGCAGCACTCGCATGCTGATGTGCTAGTAACGTAATCAGCGTCTGAAATTCCCTTTTCCTATTTTAACTAAATTTTAATTTTTATATTTCAAATAGTTATATAATTTTAATTTAAAATAGTAATAAATATTTTTAAAAATGCGCCAAAACTTAAAGAATTTCAATCGAATATATAGATTGGAAATTAAAATTCCTATTTCAATATATACACATAATTTTAACGCAAAAAAAGCGTTGGTTTCTAAAGTAATACAATCAATTTAAATTGCTAATATTATTTATCAGCCACTTCAACAATCACTCTAATTTGCATAGAAAATTAAACACAAAAATAGCTTAACTTTTGATTAAATAATTTTAGACTTTTTATATTAATAGACATAAATTAAAAAATTCTATGTTTGTTTTAAAAATTTTATGTTATTTTCTATTATTTTTTTCAAAGCAATCTAGCAAAGTAAATAATCTCATAAAAGTTAAATGCTGGTTGCAAAGTACAACGCCAAGGTTTATTGTAAGATTTATTATAAGATTATTAATATTTTAAGAATATTCACTTACGCAACAATTGTTGATTCCTTAGAAAATAATAGCAAGGCATTTCTGACCAGCATTCGTCCATCATTACAAATGAAATTTTCACAGGCTGTGAAAAGACTGCTAGATTTGCTTTGCGCCGAATTGTTCTTTTCTATCGACACTTTCGAATTTTCGAACTCGCGGCAAATTCTGTCGGCGGTTTCCAGAGATACCGTTTCCACGGGATATTCAAAAATATTTTCCGTATCTGCGAGACGCTGCGTGATGATCATCATCGCTCCCGGCGTTAACAATTGCAGATCGCCGTCGATTTTCGCACGTAATGTCATTCGCCATTGTCTTACGCTTTAATGCAATAACAAATTAAAATTCAAAAATGTAAATTTGTGAAAATGACGTTTGATCGTTTGCCAAATCGATCACTTATCTCAAAAATATCATACAACTTAAATGAATTATTATCTCTAATATGTCATGTTTTATCCGGAAAATGGGTCAATTGGACTTTCTATCAGTAAGAAGTTGGTAGCATTTTGAATCGATGATCGATGTGATTATCGCGTGCGCCGTCTCATTTGCAGTAGCGGATAAATGTATGGAGTCAGAAAGTAAAATCGATTCTGAAAGACTTTCTATTTCAAATAGAAATAAAAATCCATGTAATTTAATTTAATTGCTTAATTTTCAAGAATATAATCACACGAAAAAGATCTGCAGTATATCCTTACGAGCACGGTAATCGGCATAGAATGTATACTTTTTTATGTATTTTTATAGCATAGAAAATTAATTATCAAAATTACAAGAATGTCTTTCTCTTTCATCTAAAATACTCTTAAAAATTAAAAGTAATCAAATGCTGATATAATACGAATATAATATTATTATTACATAATATATGTATATTATTAAAAATTATAAGTAAAATTTGTAGTAGCGAATACTCCCTTCCCTCGTGCAAAAATTCACCATTGCTCGCGCAGGATAAGAAGCTGCGCAGGATTGCGCGCAGCTGTTTGCAGTGTAGTGAAGGCGGCTAGCGTTATCGGTGTGTTGTCCAACTGTCAAAAAAATGATGACTTCTTCGGAAACGTCAGAGGTGGAAAATTTAGGAGGTGAAAAGAGCGCCGAAGATTCGGCGATCTTGGAAATAAGCTCCATGGCGACGGGCGGGATAGTGAAGCAGGACAGTCGCGATGTCGATTTTCTCTCCAACTGCAGCACCTCCATTGAGGGATCCGTGGTATGAATATAACATAACCTGGGATCCACTTTGATCACCCCTTATGCTAATGTCTTATATTGTCTATTGCCATTAGATTAATTAAATTAGAATTATAACATGTGTAATGCAATAAACTTCAAACATATGATTCATATATTTGTATAAATTTTGGTAGTAAAAGCTATATGATAGAGTTAAAGTGATGAATTCCATAGAACCGATTATTCATAATTGATTGACAAGTATTGAGGAACTTTTACTGTTTTGTAGATTGCCTCTCCTTCTATCGATAGCTTCTCTACTCTTCCGGATCAAGAGATATCAGACTTTCAGATGGATTCGCGAGACTTACAAGTAAAAGTGGATAATCCACAAAAGCATCTGGAAACTTTGGAGACTTATATTACATTCCGTATAACAACTAGAGTAAGTATAGTCATGTTATCAAAATGTGATTTTAATTGCAAAACAATTTGTATCAATTAAATAAATCTACAGACTACACGTCCAGAGTTTGAAGAAGCAGAATATGTGGTTCGCAGGCGCTACAATGATTTTATTTGGCTGCGTCAGAAGTTGGTGGATACTTATCCAACTCATATTATACCAGTAAGTTTTTATCACTACTGTTAATGTGTAAAAAAAATATATATAAGAGGGATAAATTAAAACTACGAAAGAAATAATTAATTTAATTAAAATAATATTTGGATTGATATAAAATTAAAAAAATTACTTACCAATTTTTCGTTACAGCCAATGCCAGGCAAGCATACATTGCTTGCTCAACTCGATCGATATTCCAAGGAATTTGTCATAGCTCGAATGAAGCTTTTGTATATATTCTTGAACAGAGTGGTGAATCATCCTATTCTCAGTTGCGACAAGAATCTCCACATCTTTCTCACAACAAAACCTGCAGTAAGTGATCTACAATAATATTAAGGTGTTAGTAATATTATACATCAGATTTATTTAAATTAATCCTTATTCAGGAATTTCTCACTCATCGCAAAAACCGCGGCAATGTGCTCGGGAAAATGACCGATTCTTTGCAAAACATGGCAAGTACATACACGATGAAACAGCGTCATTTGGAATTTGAACAGATACGGGATTATTGTACAGCATTGAGTGAAAAACTGTCGGCTATAGATAAGATCAATCATCGTATACATAAAGAAAGGCAAGGTATGTACAGAAATCTTTCTTATATAAATACAATATAATTATAATAAAATAGCTTGTAACTGAGAACATCATATTATACATTGTAATGTTACAGATTATTTATTGGAGCTTCATCAATTGCATCCCATATTCACGTTGTGGGCAAGCTCAGAACCGGAACTTGAATCAATTTTATTGGCAATCGCTAAAGCGGTAGAAACAAATGCAGTGGCTCATAAGAAACTTTTGGAAAACGTTCCTAATGACGAACGCGAGTACGTTTCATATATAGAAGCTGTTAAGAACGCATTGTGCCGGCGTGACTCGATGCAGATTGAATATGAGATAACGGTTGATGTATTAGCAAAGAAGAGAATGGAAAAGGATCAGGTACTAGCTTCGTATATTTTTGTTTTTTAATCTCTTCAGAGTCAAATTAATTAAAAAACATAATATAATATATTCCTAAATAAAATAATTTTTTTTATAAATAATGACTAATAATTTTTTGTGATAAATGTTACGCTTATCACATGTTGTGTTAATATTCTGAGTAAAATTTCATATTTCTAAAGAGATTAATCAACATCATTCACATTATCACATTTGATACAACAAAAGGCAATTACATTTTTAATTCGCACAGTTGATAGGAAATACGAGCTGCACGATTCCCGCACAAAGCTGGGGTGGATCTCTATGGAAAGCGGAATCTCGCGACGAAAAATTAGAGCGACTTGGTCAGACGATTCCGCGGTTAGCCAAGCAAGCGGAAATATTGCAGGATCGCATGGAATGCGCGAACGAAAATCTGCGAAGCGACATACAGAGGTGGAATGTAGAGAAGCAGCAGGATCTGAAGAACATGCTGATCACGATGGCGGATCGACATATCAGACATTATCAGCAGTGCATGAATGCATGGGAAGATATTCTCGCCGGGTTTAAATTGGACGGAATCGGATCTGACGTTAACGTAGGACCGCCCGTTAAGATACCCGTTTGAACTGATGATCTATCGCTATTTAGGAATTATAGAATAAGTGTTCGTTATATGAAGATAATAACACGCCACACAAGAGAATCTCTATCAAATAATGACACAAAGTTTATTTGCAAGTTATTGCAACCTAAAGAACAATCTCTACCATCAGCTTGAATATCATCGCTTTCAAAGTCGAATCGTGGTTTTGGAATCTCGAGATTACTTAATAATTGTGAATCGCAACGGATACATTTGACGATAATAAAAGTCGCGCGTCTATGTACATATTGCGCATAATACTCTAATATCAAAACTCTACGCAGAAAATTTGCCTTTATGATACAATACAATCTTGTGATAATGTGAAAAAATTAAGTATAACGCATTTTGGTCCTACATGTACGCTACATGAATGTGGGGCAAGTTTCAGTGTATCCTGTACAAGAAACACTCTCCGGGATTTTTTTTTTTTTTAGATATTTAGATCATCAATATATTAATTTTGGGGACCAAGTATCGAACCTGTTATCGCCATTCCCTTCTCTCGCGCTCAGTTGGAAACATTATATCATATATTTATTGACAATCAGTTTAGTCGTCTATATCTACTAGTTACCAAAGTACAATAGTTACCATGATAGCGTAGATAGTCAATATATAATATACAGCACTGATAAATTTTACAAATTGGAGTATAATGCTTGTGAGAGCTTCGTTGTATCATTAATTAGTACCTTTAGTCTATGTTTCTAAATTATGAACAAGTCACATCGCACTCAACAGTTATGCTCGACATCATCGGAAGAGGTGTAGTTAGAATCCTATATGGCTTATAATACCTCTTCTCGTATTCATTATTTATGCTCGAATACTCTCCTTCTCACTTGTAAGCAATGTGGAATACATTTCTATACATTACAATGCCGCGATTTGGCGAATCGATAAAAACGATGGTGTTTGTATTAATAAATAAATTATTGTTTGCAATGAAGTTTGCAATGGTTAATGCGTTTTCTTCATTCTATTAAGGCGTCATTCGGTATTGGCGTCATATAAAACTGCACCAGATTGTCCAAATCGGTGAGCTTGGTTATAGTCTCGCCTGCAATTAATATTATGTATGCGTTTGCCTTTGAAAATAAATGAGTCGCGAAATACTGACCTGCTAAGCTCAGCTCGTTGTGAAGGAAACGCACAGTGTGCGCGTACGGTTGCTGACTCTTTTCTCGCAGCTGCGTGGCCAAACGACGCGTCGGATTCCATAATTGGGTGGAAAAATTCGGTATGTTAATAAGAGCCTGTTTCCAGGAATCTGGCTTGACTTCTTCCATCGGCAGTACGTCTGTTATTCTATACTGGCTCGTGTCAATATTCCACGTGAATTTGCATCCGACCTCATATTGTTTTCTCTCTTGCGGGCTGCAAACGTTAATTTTTTGTGATTCTTTCAAGAACATTAAGAGTTGTGATATGTTAAAGATATAATAATTTGCTTAAAGTACTACAAAGGCATCACAATTAGAATGTAATCTATATAAGATAAAAGAATAAAGTGTGCTTACCATTGCGTTTGGCTATATAACTCGCTTGCTTGAATCTTCATTATGTGCAAACATATAATGTCGCCGGTAAGCGCACATACGTCGATTATTTCTATATCGTAGTCACTGCAGTGCCAATACTTTTTCTTGAATCTCGCGCAGATCCAATCCGCTACGTGGTGAGAGAAAGTCTCAATATCAAAACTCAACTGAGTTATGGAAACGCATGGCACTATCTGAAAGTTTTTTTTGTCATGTCAGAAATATATTTATATTTTATTTACAACGAAAGTTTTTCATTTGTATCAGAAATTTATTCATATCTTATATGCTTAAGAAACTTGAACATAATTTATGAAGGCATAATTATATAAATTACGGTCAATTCTTTATAAAGATTGAAAGATGTAAAGAGTTACACGTATATTTAAAAAGTAACACATACCAATTTTTCTGCTTTACTATTGTTGATCATTTGCATTTGAACGTATCCAGAACCGTGCACAAGCATTGGAAGTACACATTGATAACCCACATATCCTCCCGTCTCTTCGTCTGTAGACACATTTGCAATTATGATACAAAATGAAATTGAATTGAAATTTCTTAGTTAAAATTAATTTCCACACAATTAAAATATTGCAAATCGATTTTGCAAGAACAAGATAAATATTTCAAATGTATAAGTTTCAATGTATACCTTCCACATCTGTAATCACTGATATCATCTCGTCATCGAGCTCTATGTAACTGCGTTTGAAACGTGCGGTGCACTTTATCAAAGGATACTGCAAATTATTTCTCGGAACTAACGGCGAGAAATTCGGGCAACATTTGCCGACGCGATCTCTGTGCATACTTCCGTTAGACAGTTGATTCTGATTCAATGGTCGAAGCACATTTTTCTCAGCTGGCAAACATAAAATGTTATTATTTTATTGTAGCAAATTATATAGACTTTTCTTTCAGTAATAATTAAGGATTTTACTTGTTTCTGGATTCGATAAGTCGTTGGCTATGCTAATGTCTTGAGCAAGATTCAATTCATCCGATTCGCTCTGATCCGAGTCGACCCAGTGCCGCCGACCGTTCGGCAGGACAGGCGACATTGCCGGCGAGGAGGGTATTTGGTGTATAGAGCAGGCACCGCGGTGTCTGAACTGATCGCGTATATGCCTGAAAGGAACTATGTTCTCCGCGTCCTCCGCTTCGTCGCAGAACTCATACTTCTTGTCGGCCAGACGACGTTTCCTAAACGAGCTGAGCTTCTCGCAGGTCGTCTCCTGCACTTCGTCGGTGAACTCGTACGCCTTTTCCGCCTCGATGAGCTTGTGCGTTGCTCTTGTCGTCCTCGTCGACTGGGTTGCGTTGACAACGGGCGGAGGTGAGTGCAGGTTCGATCTCTTGCGCGGGCTCGGAAGGCGGAAGTATTTGGCTAAGGGCGGCGACATCAAATGAGACGAGCACGAGGACGATGAACTGATAGAGACGGTGGACTGCAGTGACGAATTTATGGAGTTGGTGTCCTGCTGTGAAGCGCCGGGTTGCGGCGAGCTCGAACGTTGCTGGCTGCTACCACTAATGCTAGTACTACTACTGCTACGTTGGACCTGGATTCTGTGACTAGATTCTGAATTGCGAGTGCGCAGAATGTCCGACGGCGGGATGAGTATCTGCGACGACCACGTGGTCATCGTCCTGAGATCGGAGGGTAATCTCTGTGGCGCCGAGCGCGGCGAGCACGACGGATGTTTCACCAGCGTGATCAGATCGCTGCCGATGTTGAGCTCCTGCGACGTGTCCTCGCAAAAATCCTGCAGGATCTTGTCGCGGACCGAGATCGCCATCTGTTCGATGACGCTCGGCCGCGCAACGGGACTGCCGCCGCTGCCGTTCCGGCACTTGCATTCGTCCGAGCATTCGCATAACTTTACGGTTAAAGGATCAGCAGCGGCAGACTTATCACGTATATCACAGACACAGTCGCTTTGATTACTGCTTGAGGTATTTAACGGTAAATCGCGTCCTAACTTATCGTCTAATTTAATTGGCTCGTCTAGAAAGTCTTGTTCTAGGCTGGATTCACATTTGGGAGATCGATCAACGCACTCCGACGTGTCCACTTTCTCGTCCGAACTCTCGTATCGCTCCGTCCTCGTCGAATAATCCGTCTCCTCGGCGTCGCTCATGTCCAGCGGAATCGTTTCCGGTACCATGGGATCGTGTGCAGAAGTATCCTGCTTGTCACATGTCCTCTGATTCTTCGACTTCGGTATATTCAAGTCCACTCTGAGAATGTGCAGAAAGTTGCCTGTATTAATCACCACGTGATTCCAGTAATTTAAACACACGGTGGCTCGAAATTTCGGGTATGGTGAAGTGACCTCGTATGTCGTGTGAACCGTGAGTCCGTGTTGCAAGCAGTTGCATCGTATGCAACCGTCCCAATTTGCGGCTAATTCTGCACAATAGATTATACAATTTTGATTAGTATTGTAGCTGCACGCTTTATACAAGCACATTAATTTCTTCCCACGAATTATTTATTACCTTCACCATCTTCCTCATACGATGCGGCGATCTTTAAGCAGTCTTTGCAATTTTCAAGAGACGGTACCGTCGTTATCGTTAAATACGCTCTATCAGTCAGTTGCAAATTTAAAGAATTTGAACTGCAACGAATAAACATAGATTTTATTAGTTTATCGTGCAGTCGCTTAACGGGATGAAATTCAAAACGTACCAAAGGCCGTGTATTACAAGCTTATTCCGCTCCATTGGCCATTGCGATATAACTATGCTTAATTCTCTATAAATTGTGTAGTTGCCAAACAATGAAACCTCGGCAACTTTGCGAGCGACATGGTTTGGCGTAAAGGCCCACCAGTGCAACAAATACTTGTACAAGGTCGTGTACGTATTGCTGTACTGCTGGACTGCTGGACTGCTGAGATCCACTGTGTACGTATATGTGAGCAGAAACTGACCACACTGTGTCAATCCCATAACAACGTGCCTTGTAAGATAAAAATCATTACAATTGTGCCATTTGCTAAAATTAGAATGCTAAATGCTCAAGATTTTACATTAACCCATTTCTTGCCGATGTTATTCTTCTCATTTTTGTGTAAATATTAAACAGTTGAGAATTTGTGTTTTTGCTAACCATTTAAACTAGGCTGCAACTCAGAGTTGCACAGGATAAACATGGTAAAAAATGGATTAAATAAATCTGTGTAATATCAGTATTTTAATAGCATACCCTGCCTCAAGTGCCGACTTCGGGATTACATGTAAGAGAGGCAAATGCCGCCACCTAGGCACCGTTATAAACAGTCTTTCCTCTGATGCGTAATTGTGCGCCGACAAACATCCTCTCATCTGCAAGCACAAAAATTATTCAACTGCTAATGCAAAGCTTCCACTTAGCAGCCACTTATAGAAATAAATGTATGTCAGTCTGACAGTCTTTCCCAGGCACAAGACAAATTTTCCAGGATGTTGACTTAAGTTTACAGGAAGTTCTTTTAAGATATTAAAAGGATTACACCTCAGAAGAGTTGCATATTTTTTTATTGCAATTTGTGAAGCGTATTGGCAGTTCGTTCGAAGCGGAACAGGATTACAAATTAGACGATTGAACAGCGATTCTTTGTTTCTCTAAATAGGCTTGTCACAAACAAAGAATTGCTTCAGACAATTCGGAACAAGGCTGTCAATCACGATGTCAATCATGACATGAAGGTTAAGGTCGCTTACCTCCCGTATCAGCAGTTTTTGCAGAAAATTTCGCTTGCTGCGGCGATGTGACGGGTATGGCTTGCGTCCCACTACAACGTACTCCGATTTTTCCGACGTAATGTCAGAGGAACACTCAATGCAACAGTCTGAGGTAGTGTCGGAAGACGACGCGTCCGCCATTTTTAAATAACCTCGCTCCTTTCTCGTGGCGTCAGCGTGTATATGTACAGCGTTCACTCGTCTCGCCCGTCTCGGCGGCGTGAGATGAAAGGGATTGCCGCTGATTGTTGCGACAGGCGTGGAAATCGCTCGCTGATTTTTTTTTTATTTTGATCTCGAAATAAATTTAAGATCTTAGACCATTGTTATATATACACATTACAATTTATTACAAATAATAAAAAGCAAAATGGATATCACGTTGGATGATAAATTGAATGTGCTACAGCAAATAAGTCAGCGAAAGCTTGTGGAGATATTGGACACCATTCCAGGTGCAAAGGATCTGATAATAGAAGCAAAGCTCATGAAAGTACTGGACAGTTTTGTAGGAGTGACTGTACTGAAGTGAGTGTTGTTTTGCACACATAACCGCATATTAATCTTATTATTGAAGGATGACATCACTTTATTTAGGCGATATGGAGTGGACAAGATCTATAAAATGGAAGAAGGACTGAAATCGTCGAATAGTCAACGTATATTCTTAGTATCTAATAATTTAATCGCATGCAAGAGAGCTCTGGACCAAATACAGTCTGAAATATCGCATACTAATAGGCCTCATGTTGAAGTGTGTCATCATTTGCTGGTTACGCCATTTGTTCCAGCTGTGCTGCACAATCTAGTCGAAGAGGAAGGTCAGCAAAATGTACCGATGACAACAATATCTGTTCTATCTTCACTATAATATATGGAATTGTTTTTTTAGGTTTATCTGGACTGGTTACGCTGCACACGCTCTCTGTAGAATTCGTAAAACTGGATGGGAACGTTTTATCCTTGGAAAATCCAATGTTTATTGATCTCTACTATCACAAAGACACTAGTCTTCTGCGAGCAATAGCGCGTAACTTGTGGTCGTTGCAATTAGTGCTCGGCTCGCCGAGGTTCTCACTTTTCTTGGGCAAACACAGTCAGCAAGTGGGCAAACTGATGGAATCAATGGAGGAATGTCTGGGGTCATCTAGTCTGCAGAATGAGATTGGCGCTCTGATCATAATGGACAGAAGTTTTGATCTGACCACGACTCTTCTTACACCTGTAACATACGCGAGCTTGTTGAATGAAATTGTGGAGGTAAACGTCGGTACGGCGGTGTTGGGAAAGTCGCAGACCAAGTTGGATCCAAATAAGGATCAAATTTACGGAGAAGTGAGAGATATACCTTGCAGTGACGTTTTCCCGATTCTCCACGGAAAGGCTAAGTCGCTTAAATGTACTCTATCTTTTTCTTCCGAGTCGTTACAGATTGTTTTCTTGAAAATCTTCTTAATACCGGTTAACATTAGCTGAACAGGAGGCTGTACAGACCATGAAGTTAGCTGAGATGGAGAGATACGTGTCGACGAGATTACAAAAAACCGGAAAAAGGACACAACAATTAGCGTTTCATATATCTGCGTGCCAGACGATCGCGGATACTTTAGGTTCTGAGTTTCAGGCCTTGCAGGCGATCGAGAAACTGATGCTTGACTGCAAGGACAGAAAAGAATGCTTGAGCTACATCGAGAGAAACATAGGTATATCTTTTAGCATCGAAATTAATAATATTCCCGAATTAAATTATATTGAATCGATTAATATGATCAAAATTCAAAATTTTATCTAAGATATTATGGTTTATAACATGAAATACTTTCTCGTAGATGAGCATGCATTACGATGTTTGCGTCTCCTGTGCCTTTTATCCATCACCACCGATGGCATTACGCAGAGCGAGCTCCAGAACATCCAGAAGCTACATCTTCATACTCACGGTTATCAGCACATTCCGCTGTTTTACAAGCTGCACACTACTGGCCTGTTAAAGCATCGAGCTGAAAATATTTTACACAAGCTACCGAACTGGAGCAGCGAGTGGAGCAGCAATGCGCAGAAATTAAAGATGTTACCCGGCTACTCCAAACGATCCGATCAGAACGGTCGTACCTGTCCTAGTTACGTGTTCAACAACGCTTACACACCCGCTATAGTTTGTGTCCAATTTTCTGTTTCAATGCGGTGTTTTATTTCACGATATTAATAAAATGTCAATTAATATATTGCAGGCGCAAATATTAAACATCGTATCGAATCAAGAGAAGGATCCTCGCAGCTTCGAAGACTTGATGAATTTATCGAACTGCGCCGTAAGCGGCCACCGGGGCGCGTTATCGCCGAAAATGGTCGTAATTTGTGTGATAGGCGGCATCACCTGTGCGGAGATAGCGGCGTGCCGGCTCATAGAGAAGTCTATGGGGATACGTCTCGTTCTCGCATCCGACACTATTCTAACAGGCAATAAACTCATTCAGAGGATACAAGAAATATGAAGACTCTCGTGGCGTTTCATCATCAGGAATGTAAAATATCTTTGCCGTATAATAAATAGGTAAGATGTTATAATATTCTTTTGCATGTGTGACAAGTGCGCGAATCATTCTGCAACGTATTAACAACAACACGATCGTTTGTGTATAATGTTGTTATCGGTATTATTTATGAGTTTGAAACGTTACAATAATCACGTTTCAACACCCGAAAAAGTTTTAAATTTGACACTGTTAACCATTTAATAATTTCGATTCTCCTCCCGATTACGATCGCGGTCGCGATCGCGCCTTTGCCGACCCCAATCCTGTCCCTGGCGATTGTAATTCTGACGGTCGCGGAAGTTGCCTTGGTTTCCCCTCGAGAAGAAATTACCTGCACGAAAATTCGTATTTATTATACATTGGACGGCTGTGCACATTTGCATAACGTATTGCAATAAATATACCAAGCTACATAAAAATGTGATTCAAACAAATAAAGAAATATACATTTTCTCAGAAAACTCTTGCAGTTTGCTTACCTTGCTTCATCTCGAAGATACGTTCGTTCGAATCAACAAAGTTGTTTACTTTATCGGTGAGTTGCAGGGCTAAGGATTGAAGGCGGCTCGGTTCGCTGCGATGCATGACGACGGTTCCTGTCGGATCGTCCAAGGATGCCTAAATAGATGAACGGGGGGAAAAAACACGTCAGTTACAGGATATAGAATTTCATTGTGTAACATCGAAATGATATATCTGTGCAATACCATAAGTTCTTCGTTAATAATCATTTTGCTGATAATAGAGTGGACCACAGGTCGCTTTAACTGGAACATGTCAGCGAGTTTTGGCATGGAGATCGAATCGTAGACATGCGAGTACGTGAATAAATAAGTCCGCAACGCTTCCTCCTTAATTAATCGCGTTAGCATAGCTCGTACTTTGTCCGCCTGATAGAAGAGATCCCAGACCTGTTGAGAAAAAATAATTATTACTATCTATTCTTGAGATTATGTTTGCGAAGGAATGTACATCGCAAACACACCTTTGCGTTCATCTTTTCATTGATAATGAAATTGTTGCAAGCAGACCAATTTCCATTGCGCATTGCTTTGGCAGCAGCAACGACATGCTCCCTCATGGATTCCGGTGGTCCCACTAACGATTGACGCTCGCTGGATCGCAACTGCTGATAGAACGTCTTCGAAATCATCCTTCGCCTTGCGTCAAACTCGTGCGCTATAATTGAATAATTTATCATGTGAAATAAGCACTGGAATAATTAATAAAATTAGCAAACCAGGCTCATAGCGTTTCAATTAATAAAATAATGGATTAAAATTAGTTGAAATAATTGTCTCGCGATAATCATCAGAATATATTTTGTGTAAAAAATAATATTAAATTAATAATCATAATAAAAATGCAATATTAAATTGAAAAACGTACCAGCCATGTATGGAATCTCGATAAGCATTGCTGAGACGAGATATACGCATTCAAGGAGTTCCAGATTGATGTGCATGTGGAAAGGCATTTGCCTTTGCTTTTCAATCTTCTCCTGTTCTTTGCTGCGCTCGTGCTGTCGTTGAGGAAGCAGACCTTGCGCCAAAAGTTCCTTTACTTTGCCTGTCACCATTAAATCGACTAAGCAGTTGTGGGCATCTTTAATATTTGCATGACGGAATGCGCATAGTCCTAGATGAGCGATCGTACGATTGTATAAAATCTGAAAAATACAACAAGTTAATTTTGTGTCTTCTATTAAAATGACAATAGATAAATGTACAAATTCGAAACCTGTGTAGCTGGATCAGAATGCTGAATGGTTTCCTGGAGATGCGACATTAGAATCAAGTCACGGGCTTGGAACCAATTATCGTGAAGTGCGTGGTGATAAATGTGCGACAGAATCGCGCGAGTTCTCAATCGATCAGTGTTGTCGTGAGCATAAACGTATTTGCAGAGCTTTTCCATGACTTGTACGGATGTGATTGCCTCTTTTCCCAGCTCGCCCTGGTGTATTCGATAATTTCGGTAATATGATAAAACAGAAGGATTTTTTTACAAATATATATCTTTTATGAAAACTCACCTCTTTTTGCTTCAGAACATTTGGATCGAATTTGTAATACAAATGCTCGATTTTGCGCAGGTACACGCGACAAAGTTCGGACACAGTTCCTTGCCTCTCCAAATACTCTTGTACCTTATCTATTATGGCAGCGACTTGTTTCTCATCCTTCAATCTGTAACAAGCAAATATTTTGTTGTACGACGAGAAGTAACGGTCATAAGTTGCATATAATTTTAACTTTTTAAAGAACATTACCTTTCTACGTATTCGTTGCTGTGCGGATCGCATTCCTTCAGCAATTTTATAAATTCTTCATCGAGACGCTCCACTAACGTTAACACGCAGCCATGTATTTTGAACGGCGCCGTTTCGAACTCCTCCATGTCTTCCGCGATCGTTTCCGCGATCACCATATCTGTGTTGTTCAACAGCATGTCGAGCATCTCGGTAATGCGCTCTAATATTCTATAAAGAAATATTTATCTTTAATATTTATTTATCATATTATAAATAAGAAAATTATGTATAACGCAACACATTTACGATTATTTCAGATAAATATATTTATGTCGATCTTAAATATACGTACTTGGACCAATATTCAGGCTTCATGGCGTCGGAAACCTTCGGATTGTAATCGAATATGGAAGACACGATAGAAAACTTAATTTTCACAGTCACAGCCGGGCCGAGAGTGTGTGCGTCAGCTATCGATTGCAACTCGTGCAGGAGCTCGATTTGCTCTCGTCTGTCTGTACGTTTTTTACCGCGAGCTGCAATTATCTCAGAAAGTTTCTTCAGCACCGCAGTGATGTTGATCTCTGCGTCCTTGGCAAACATCTTCGGCTTCTCGGAAGGAATAGCCACGCCACCCTTCACAGTTTCCCATTCTCCTTCGCCATCGTCTTCGTCGCGCTTCTTCTTTCGCTCCTTCTCTTTGCGTTCCTTACGCTGTTCCTTCCTCTTCGCTTTATCCTCATCGTCCCCCCCTTCCTGGGCTAAAGCCCTATAAAAAGACTCATCATATTATGACATATTTCATTAAAATTACTTTTTTTATTAGATTTTATTATAAATTAAAGGATCGTACTTTTTGATGAAACGTTCACGAATATTTTGATATTGGCCTTCATCGTCGCTACTTGTGCTCTCGCTGTCCGAATCACTGCCCCAATCAGATTGCTCGCTTTCGCTGCCCTCCTCGCCATCAGTTGCACCTTTCTGCAATGTGACATGCAAGAAATCAATAAAAAGTTATTCAAGGCAGCTTATGCTATCGATAAGTCTTAGTGTTATAAAAGACCTTGAACTTTGCAACATCAGGTTCACTAGCTTCTGATCCTGCCTTTTTAAAAGCCACAGCGCTGTCTTCTTCTTCCTCAGACTCTATAACTTCCTCAGCTGTAACAATGAAAATCACATTTTTTTATATTGAAAAATTCCAAATTTAGATTTACATTTCTGATAAATATATCAAACCTTTTTCTTCTTCATCATCATCATCTTGATCAGGGTTCTCCCTGAATTTGCCTATGTCCTCTTCAAAATCCTTATTATATTTACGTAATTTTTGACGTAATGTTGAAAGTGATTTGGAATTATTCTTAGACATATTCTTGCGTCCATCACGATCTTCCCATACTTCGTTAATAAAATCTTCCATTTCCACTAAACACCTAACATAAAATCGTGGAGTTTGTCCAAGTTCCTCCTTAGTGATTACTGGCAAAGCTTTTTGATAAGCTCGCATCAAATCCTCAAAACCTAAAATTATAAATAAACACTTGTAAAGAAAAATTTATTTAACATAGACTTGTGAACAAATATATATAGATTAATAATGTTCACACTTCATATTTATTAATTTAACACTTCAATTATGCAACCAAAGAAGCTTTACAAGCAAAACTAAAGTTACTTACTCGTCAGCATGCTACTCATATCCTTAATTTTCTTATAATTCCTGATAAGTTTTATAAGATTGGCAATCTCCTCATATCTTTTCTCTTTTGTGGAGCGTACAACACGCTTTGTTTCTTCCTCGTCATCACTGAACTAAAAAAATATTTCACATTATTTTAATAATAAGATAAGGTAATTTACAAATAAGAATGCAGCTAAAAAATGTAATTAGGTTGTAATACTTACAGTAAAAGCTGTTGTTGGCGCCCTTTGTATTTGCTCCTCCTCAGATGCGCTATCAGACTCAGAATCTGAGCCAGTCGCAAAGAAACGACTCATGATGTCAGATGCTCTGCAATAAATAAATAAAATATTTAAAAAAGCCTTTACTAATTATTTCTCAAAATTACTCATTAATTTGCAATTAATAAAATTCATAAATATATTATAAAAATATTCAAGTCTGCAATATGTAAAGTATGGAAATATAAGCAAAATTGCAAAAAACATCACAAATTTTATAGTAAATGTCAAAAAATAAAGTGCAGTGTGGCAAATACAATTTAATAGGACATCACGGAGACCGCATATACACGCGATGTCTGACGACTCCTTGGTTTGACACATGGTGCGATATATTTGTGATAAAAACGATTATTCTAATTATTTAGAGATAAAGGCAAAATAGATTCTCGCGGCATAGCTGTGGTACTTCCAAATATATTTTAAATTATTATATTACCAATATTCTTCCTCGAAAAAGACAGGTATGTCACAAGGTTAGAAAGAGCCTAATTTATATAGAAACGCATGCTACGTGTGTTCTGAAAAGCATATATTTTTGCCGTAGGTCCAGTTTCCATTTTCTATACAATCCACTGACGTGATTCGTAATTGCATAATTTTTACTAGCATAAACGGCTAATCACCTTTTGTTATATAGTTCTTTTTGAAAAAGAACAGTTTGATTGGTTCTTTAGAAATTGCTTGTTTTCAGTTGCGTTTAGCTTCCACTTATCGATTATACTTGTTATTTTATATATTTTATTTTAGCACTGCAAGTGCAACTTCCTAAAATAAACAGATGCTGTAGCTTGTATGAATATTGTATAAAAATATTATGCAATTTTTAATGCATACATAATAAAAATTTATCTCACCAGTGTCGTTAATTTATAGCAAATTATGAATATGACAATAAGTTAATTAAAATAATTCTATTTAACAAGTGTATTATTTATTTTAGTTACATTCTACATTTTATTTTTTGTTATCTTGTTTTGTATGCCCTGTATCTAGAATGAAATAGCAAGATAAACAGAAGAAAAGATGCGACTAAAAAACGAACGAATCTTACAACCGTGCATCAATTTGATTTGCCGAACGCTTCCACTTCCTGAGCACTTCTCATTAATTGATATGATATCTTAACGGAAAAAATAAAGTAAAGAGAAGAAAAAAGTGGCGTACCGCAAAAAAAAAAATAATATCTATAAAAATTGGAAAAGGAAAAGATATCATATCATATTTATCTCCAGAAAAGACCGGTTTAGACGTTAGACGTCAATAGTTACAATTTATTCGTGAAAGTGAACAAAACACCTCCACATCCAATTAATCATATTTGCGATATCTAGCACTTCTGGACACTTCACATTAATTGATATCTTAGCGGAAAAAATTTACTAAGATGGCCTTGAGTCCTGGAGATCCAAGTTCTTATGCAAGACCAGGTATTTTAATTATTATCCACATAATATTAAACATTCTAAGGTAATTTTCTGCATTTTTATTGAAAAAGAGAAAATGAGAAAAAGCCATCTGTTAAGTCTGTTGATATGTTATGAATAAATTAATAAAGAAAATATTGTATTATTTAAAAATTGCTTGATAAATTATATTTTTCTAAGTTAAGCTTTTATTCTATGATTTTTAGCATTTATATCATTTTATGGCACTTTTTTCAATGTATAAAAGTTGTCAAAAATTGAGATTTTTACTTATTAATTGTATAAAAAAAATTCTGTATGAAATTAATATTTGATCAATATAGTATTTGATTTTTATAATTCTTTAATTATTACAGATGTTGCATTTGTAACTCATACTCATCTAGAATTAACCGTTGATTTTAATCAAAAAGTTCTTGAAGGCAAAGCAATATTAGATGTAGAAAGGAAACTGCCTTCAGCAACTGAATTAGTAAGAAAAGTTATTTATTTACCTAGAAACACAAATTTTTATCATTAATATGTATTCAAAAATTAGATTTTAGATCATCGCAAACTTATTATATCAAGTACCACAAATGCTATTGATGGATCTAATTTACAATATACTATTGGACTTAATGTTGAATTTGGAAGTAAATTTGTCATTCAGTTGCCACCGGCTGTTGGAGATAATAAGTGAGTATAAAATATTTTTAGATAAACTGAGACGTGGCGTTAAAAATGATCAATACAAGTATTTGATGTATCTTTTACAGATGTAAAATTGAGATTGAATATAAAACATCTCCAGATTCAACTGCACTGCAATGGCTAACAGCTGAACAAACTGCAGGTGGTGTACATCCTTACCTGTTTTCTCAATGTGAGGTAAAATATAAATAATATGATCTTAATAACTTATATTTTAATGTGGATTGTCAAATTCAAAAAATATGTTTTAGGCTATACATGCTAGATCTATGTTTCCCTGTCAGGATACACCATCTGTCAAGTCTACATACTCTGCTAAGGTAAGAATTTATACATGATTAATGTTTATAAGTATTTAATTTTTGTTAATACATATATTCTATATCTTTTAGATTTCTGTATCAAAAGAACTTACAGTTGTAATGTCTGCACTTTTGGATAGACAGTTGGAGGAGTCAGATAAAAAAATATATGAGTTCCGTCAATCAATACCAATACCATCTTATCTAGTGGCCATTGCTGTGGGTGCACTAGTATCAAAACCAGTTGGCCCAAGAAGCAAAGTATGGGCTGAGAAAGAATTTATTGATCAAAGTGCGTATGAATTTGGAGAAACTGAAACGATGTTGCAAACTGCAGAACAATTATGCGGTCCTTATGTTTGGGGTAAAGTACTGAACTGTTTATTAAAACTGTTTATATAAATTTTCTTTATAAATTATCAATTCTTTTCTTAATCTTTTTATTATATTTAAAATAATATTTTTGCAGGCATGTATGATATATTAGTGCTTCCGCCAAGTTTTCCATTTGGTGGCATGGAAAATCCTTGTTTGACATTTGTAACGCCGACTGTACTTGCTGGAGATCGTTCTTTGGCCACTGTCATTGCCCACGAAATCTCACACAGCTGGACAGGAAATTTAGTTACAAACGCAAACTTTGAACATTTCTGGTTGAACGAAGGTTTTACCATGTTTGTTGAGAGAAAGATTAACTCCAGAATGTCTGGTGAAAAAATGAGACATTTTGAAGCATTGCATGGCCTTCAAGGTCTAAGAGAAGCGGTAAGCAACGAATTAATTGAATGAAATAAAGAAATATGAATAACTAAATATGTGAGAATATGTATAACATAATATTATTGCGTTCTGCATTATTTTTTAAAATTGTATTATTACAGATTAAAACTCTCGGTGAAACCAATCAACTGACGAATTTAGTACCGAATTTGAATAATGTCGATCCGGATGACGCATTTTCCCTCGTGCCTTATGAAAAAGGACATACTTTCCTATTTTATCTGGAGCAACTTCTAGGCGGGCCAGAAGTATTTGAACCATTTTTGAAATCTTATTTGGATACGTACAAATACAAAAGCATAAAAACTGATACCTGGAAGAATTACTTGTATAAATATTTTTCTGATAAAGTAGAGGTAACGTTTTTTTATACGAATAAACAAGAATTTTAATGTTAATATTTTTAATATTATAAACAATTTCTATCTTATTTTTAGCTGCTGAATTCCGTCGATTGGAACACGTGGCTTTATAAACCGGGTATGCCACCTGTGATACCTGATTACGACAAGAGTTTGACAAACGCGTGCACCGAGTTAGCGAGACGATGGATTGAATGGGACGAGAGTACCGTTTCGCCTTTCGTCATATCGGATATAGAGAATTTGTTTCCCGGTCAGAAGGTAGCATTTTTAACCGAGCTACATAAATCGCCTACGATTCTGTCACTGAACAAGATGCAACAGATGGCAAACACGTATCAGTTGGACCTTGTGAAGAATTCCGAAATACGGTAATCGTCGCGTATTTCTGTTTACAAGATCACAGTCGATTCGCGATTAAATAATGTAACGCATGTGTATATTTCGCAGATTTGTTTGGTTGCGTTTGTGCATCAAGAATCGATGGGAATTGAAGGTTTCTGACGCTTTGAACTTTGCTACCGAGCAAGGACGCATGAAATTTGTACGGCCTATATTCCGAGATCTGTATGAATGGCAAGAGATGCGTCAACGAGCGATCGACGTGTATTTGAGCAAGAAGAACAAGATGATGTACGTGACTGCGCACATGGTGGCAAAGGATCTTCATCTAAGTGATTGATACAAGATTATCATGATAATTTTACAGATGATTTGTGAAATAACTACAATATTACGTTTTTTATTATCTTATCAAATAATTACTTATGCACATAAAATCACATAATACAATGCGATTTTTATTGTATTTCTACTTTTATGAATGATGAAACAATGACGTGTTTCTCTTTTTTCAGATTTTAATAAAGCAATTATAACAATTTAAAAAAGTATTTTTTCGCGAAACTTGTATTCTAAATTTTGTTTTAGTGATAATAGAACGTACGATTCGAGTTCGAATTGATTCCTTCATGCGGGAAACCAAGAAACGCTGGATAACAAGGACGGACACTATTGTGATCCTTGTCTCTCCTGCAATTGCTTTGGGCATCAACATGTAATTTTTCCCTAGAAATGAAAACGTGAAAAGTTCCTATTCCATTCGTCGAATCCCTAGGAAACAAATCTGGCTCGGCAGCGGCACCTCCGTGGATTTTCTAGACGCATTTAGATCATTTGTAAAACGTGCTTAACACGTGACGTTAAAAAAAAAAAATTTGCGTGTATTTACGCGGGAATATTGCGTTATCTGAAATTTTGCTTTAATTCAAGTTTAATAAAGTAATCATAAATAATATAAGGATACTTTGAAAACTTAACACATAAATATGAAGAAACGTCAGTTGTCACAAAAGAAGGTAAAGAGAATATACAAATTTATAAATGCAATCGAGTGCTTCCGTTTGGTTAGGTTTATTTCTGTTGAGTCTATATTAATTTCTTATTTTCTAAAACAATGACATTTTATTTGGATATAAATTTTACTTCTGATTTCTTGAATATATAAGAATTTTTAACATAACATAATAAACGGTGTGTATGTTGACAAAATTAATGAAATATATTAAGTTATATTCATATAGAAAACACATGAGAAAACTAATTTGTTTGATACATGCAGTGTGTTTTTTGTAAAAATAAGAAAATATCAAATCGCATAAAAGAAAAAATTCATAAAGCCTCTCTTTGTTTACAGATTTCTTCCACTGATAATGTCAAAAGATCTCAGACAAAAATCTCATCATTCTTTACAAAAATTTCCAAGAATGATGATCACAAAGATAAAGTTGTATCTACTCCTGATAACTCCTTATTTCAAGCCTCAGGAGATAAGAAAAGAAAACAAAACAATGATTCATTTGAAAAAGAATCGCATAGTATTAAGAGAAAACGCAGTGAGAATATTGATATATTGGAAGAACATAGTGTTGCAAAGACAAGAAATATCAAATCATATAAAGATTCAGTATTATCGATAACAAATGATTTAGACGAGGCATGTAATAACGTTGAAGAAAATAAAGCGACACACACTGAAACACTGCCCCAAAAAATTAATAAAGAAAAAATAAATGCAATAAGAGTAAAAACAGATAAGAATACAACTGTTTTATCAAATTCTGCCAGCATTGGAAATACCCAAGTTTCAGATATCGCAAGCAGTGGTCATGTTCTTAAAGAATCACAAGATTTAAATACTGTTGCCTTAAAATCAACTTCTTCAGAAATGTATGATCCCAAAAAAATTAAATTACTTGATGCAAAAAAGGAAACTTCGGAAGATTCTATAACAGTGAATGGAAATGATTTTGATGATTTTTTCAGTGAAGAATGGCATGTATCCATTGATTTTACCACATTACAAAGGTGCAAGATTATTAATGTGAAACATGAACCGAAAGTTACTATTTTAACAGTACAGCATGTCGAATCTAAATCTATTGATACTGTCACATGTTCAGAATTTTGGAGAGATGTGCACGTGAAACTTGACGATATTGTCATGGTACAAGCTAAGAAGGATTCGCAGCAATGGTTTGTCGACAACAACAATGGTTGTCTTGTCACGCAGCCTGATGTGTTAATATCAGGCACGACCATAGCAAGTAGTACCTTTTGCAACAGACAAGCTGTGTTCGCTGAGAAATTCAGGAAAATAGAATCGCTACCAAATTTGAACGGTGATTTTTCCACAATGACTATAGGATCTTTGGTCCACCAGTGGTTGCAAAAGGCACTGCGAGAGAACGTTTACACGCTGTCCGACGTGATCAAGTTATTGGACGATATATTACAATCCAAAGACACGATAGACTACCTTTACGCGTCGGAAATGTCGCTTACGGATTGTCGGAAACGCATGATGGAGTACGCGCGAAGAATAATCGAATTTATTCAGCATTATATCAAGGGAGAGAAACAAAAGCATATAAGCAACTTGAGAGACAACTTTGAAGGAAACATCTGTAAGATTCAGGATATTGAAGAAAGCGTTTTCATACCAGAGTTGGGTATAAAAGGAAGGATAGATGTGACGGCGGAGGTAAAGATTCATTCGAGGAGAAAGATTATGCCTCTAGAAGTAAAAACTGGACGTGCCTCTTACTCACTTCAACACAGAGGTCAAGTTATACTTTATCTCATGATGATGGGCTTCAGAGATCAAGACATCGACACCGGTCTCCTGTTGTATTTGAAGGAGAACTCGATGCAGGAAATCAGAAGCAGTCATCACGAGAAGAGAGACTTGATGCTACTGCGAAACACATTGGCGCATTACATGACCCAGAAGCTCGAAGACCAGAACGTAGACTCTCCGTCGGATTTGAAAATGATGGAACTGCCGGAGCCGATATATCATCACGTTGCGTGCGCCAAGTGTTCCTATCAAAACCTATGCTGCGCGTATTTGGCGAGGGATCCAAACGCAAACCTGTCGCCGACGCATCCGCTGACAGTACCGATCAAAGAGCTACTCGACAATTTCCAGTCCAATCACTTGGATTACGTTATGACGTGGATCGCGCTGTTGCAACTGGAGGAGAGTTCCGAGAACAGTAACAACAGTTTGAGCAGCATATGGACGACGTGTCCCGAGAAGAGGGAGGCAAAAGGAACATGCATCTGCCATGTAAAAGTCGTGGGTCAAGTCGTGGAGCAAGACGACAGATATCAGCATGCGTTTGCACGCGTCGATATCAAGGGAGAGACTGTCGAGAAGGGACTCGCGCTCGGGAACACGTTTAGCGAGGGTGATTTTATCATGATTAGCACGGATTCACGGATCAACATAGCCGCTGGGTCTGTAGTTTGCATTTCGCATGACGTTGTAACGGTCCTCCTGGAAAAGGATATTACGCAACAAAATGCAAACTCTACGTTTCACATCGACAAATATTCCTTCGTCAGTCTGGCTACGTACAATTACGCGAACGTGGCCGGTTTGTTGAGCAACGACGAGGCCGTCGTTAGGCTCCGACGTATCGTCATCGACAAGAAACCGGCCACATTTGTGAAGAAGCTGCCGCGCTCGGTCGTGTCGGCCAGCGCTGAAATAATACGCGATCTCAACGAGAATCAACAGAGAGCCGTGCTGAAGGCCGTAGCCGCCAAGGAGTACGTTCTGATAAAGGGCATGCCGGGCACGGGAAAGACGCGAACACTGGTGGCTCTGATAGAGCTGCTGCTGGAGCTGGGCTCCAGCGTGCTGATCACCGCGCACACGAACAGCGCGGTGGACAACGTTCTGCTGAAGCTGCTCGAGCGGAACATCGACTTCCTGCGTCTCGGGTCGAAGAAGCAGATTCATCCGCTGCTGACGTGCAAGAGCGAGGCGTATGCGATCGCGAGCTGCGACTCCCCGGAGAGCCTGGAGGCGCTCTACAACAGCAAGCGCGTGGTCGGCGCAACGTGCTACGGCGCGTATCACGCCCTTATCCGAAGACGCAGCTTCGACGTGTGCGTGGTGGACGAAAGCGCGCAGATCATGCAACCCACCGTGCTGCGACCGCTGTACAGCGCGCGCAAGTTCGTCCTCGTTGGAGACCCGGATCAACTGCCGCCCGTCGTCAGGAACAAGACGGCCGCGAGACTTGGCGCGGATAAATCGCTATTCATCAGACTGGACAGCGACAACAACACAATTAATTTATCGGAGCAGTACAGAATGAACGGCAGAATTATGAGGCTGGCTAATGACGTGACGTACCACGGCAAGCTGATATCCGGCAGTAAGAAGGTGGAAAACGCGACTTTGACCGGTTCGAACATGGAGCAGGTTCTCTCCTCCTGCGAGAGGTGGATAGGAAGAGTGTTGTCTCGAAATCCGGACGATTCGGTGATTCTACTCGACACCGGTCACACGTGCAAGTTGAGTGTCGAATCTGCTAACGAGAACATCACGTCGGATCAAGTGTACTCTAATGTTTGGGAAGCTGCCGTCACTTTCCGTCTTGTTCAAGTACTCATTGAAGCAGGCGTGTACGCGAGAAATATAGGAATCATCGCACCTTACAATGCTCATATAAATTTATTGAAGAAGATCATAAACAAAGAAGTGGAAGTGAACACCGTCGACCAGTATCAAGGCCGCGATAAGGATATTATACTGTACTCGTGCGCGAAGAGTGTTGAAAGTAATGCGAAGAAAGAATTCGAGATATTGGTCGACCAACGGCGCTTGACAGTGGCCATCACTCGCGCGAGGCACAAGTTAATCGTAATTGCTGACAAAGTTACTTTAACGGGATACACGCCATTTAAAAGATTGTTTGACGTCATTGGCGAAAAGAATGTGATCAATTTACACGACGGCGAAGAAGATTTCAATTGGAGAAGTCTTGTTTGTAAAATTAACAGTATTATTAGCGATAAATAAATTAAAATTGCATTTTTATCAGATTTTTACAAAATTTGTTGCAAAAATCTGATAAAAATGCAGCTCTTGAAATGGCAATTTTCTATTGTTATAATTTATGAATTTAGAATAAAATATCATTTTGCTATTATAACTGTAACATGAGGAAGTATTTAAAATAGAAGAATAACTAATTTTATACAAAGTTTGGCACTTGCGCTTAAGTACATCAAGCATAAGTCCCTGTATTTCACATAAGTCACATAAAATCACATTGAATGCGCACGCTCTTCAACGTACGACATATAAGTACAGAAATTCCGATGACAATATCTCTCTGATGCTCTATATACATATGTACAAAATAAAATAATGAGCAGTTACTTAGGCACACACGTTCCTTCCTCCTAATAGTTTACGGTCCTATTTATTAGATTCGTTGTAAGACGCCCTACCAGCCAGTTCTAATAAGTAACGATCGGGATGATCCAACCAATCACTGGTACTTAATTTGACGACTCTCTGTTTCTCCGCTTCCTTTACCTGCCACTTTTTAATTTCCAATTGCTTTTCCCTACAAAAAAAACCCCCCCAAAAAAAGAGTATGTTAAAATTTTTTACATCTTACATATGTATGAAAAGTTTCATTTTAAAAGCTCACCTCAGCTTTGTGTCGCCGCAGCCCCACACTTCCAGGCTGGCGATACGATACGGCGCACCAGCGATGGACACCGAGTGGAATGACTCGTCGATACTGATAAGCGGCGAACGCGGATCGCTACCGAGCCGCAGACCGTGCGGGTAGCCCCTGATAGTCGTGTTCAGATACAGTATCTTCGGACCTTTCTCTATGACTTTAAAGGACGGAATCAGTTGAATGCCCATCGAGTCTTCGTCGCCACAATAGAGATGACTCTCTCGCCACTCGACGGCCGAACACACGCAATACGTCGGACATTCCCCGTCTCTCTCTACACTAGCGGCTCTTATGATTAGCAGAGTGGGACCTCTGTAACCTAACACATGGTGAAGGAAGCGATTAGCCCCGGTTCCGTGCTCTCCGCTACTGTACAGTAACGTCCAATGCCTTGGACAAATACTGCCCGTTCTTCTTGCTATCAAAGCGTGAGTTATGTCCTTCGGTGAATCGTTGGTCTACACATACACACCACGCACATAGATACGCAAATCCAAATTATGTGTACAATAGTAAATTTAGATGGGCAATAATTAATCTCTACGCAAAGTTCTCTACACGCAGGACATAATAGTACAACTGTCGATTATACGTATTGTGTACTCTATGACAACATACCTGGAGATAGCATTGTGATAATGTGCACGACAACAACCAGACATAGCTCATCGGTAATAAATTTGCTTGAGGAAACTCTAAATCCGACTTTTCTAACACGGGTGTCATTATTTCGACGAGGGGTTGCGGTTGCTCTTTCGACAGAAGCGCTTTACCATTGCGATAAGCGGTTGTCAGCACATGCACTACGTATCGCTGCAGACCTTGTACCATACGCGGACAATGCTGTCCAATCCAGTTGCTCACGTAGCTTGTGGACAAGCTAGTCTTACCGTGAAACTGTAAAATATTTACAAACGTTACAATTGCACTTGTATAACGTAAATTATTCATACAAATTTACTAACACATGAAACAACAACGGCATTTATTATTTGCTGCGAGAAAAGGCACGAGCTGGTGCTATTGTTTTCCATTGCTAGCTGATAACAACACATCAATAATGCCGTTAGTGTTTCCGGTGTAACATTGCCACTATCTTTTATATCGGAATACATCTTGATATAATTCTCCAGTATAGCTTGATCATTCATAACTGCTAAAAATTTTTCAGCTTGCTGCTTGAAAGCAGTTGTACTTATATATTCTGTTGTAGCGTGGGCATTATAGTGTAAGTAAGTAAAAAGTTTTTCGCTCAGTTCAGGATGAGTGGGAAATAAGTATTTCTCGAAAACAGATTTGGTGATGCCATTAACATGTTCTTCTTGCTGGGCAAGATGTGATAATGTCTACAAAATAAAACATTTGTATGTTAGCATTAAATAATTAGATATAAAATTTAGAAGATATATTATGCGATATAATTTGCTTCTGTATTTCTATTTGTAAAAAAAAAAGTTATAAAAGCATACTACAAGGCACTGGCAGATCCTGAGGAGGGGGGTTAACCCCCCCCTTCAAGTTAAAAAAATCAATTTTGCTGGATCCGTTTCAAAAATCTTGGTAAAAAATGCATTAAAGCAAGTCGAAACCCTTGCATTATCGACATCAGGATCCGCTAGTGCTACAAGGAAAGTTTAAAAAATTTTTCTCTGTATCAAAATTGGACATAAATAACATATTAATGTAAAAAACAAATTCCTAAAAAAACCAAGTAGAAAACGTTTGTTTTGCTATTTTTCAAACAGCTGTAGAAGCTAATTGTAGGATGTTTAACAATAGTGTCTGTATTTGTTCATCTGTATCATTCAGCACGTGGAATGTTCTTTGGAAAAAATAGTGCTGTAATTAAAGCAATATTTTTTCCAAAGAACATTCCACGTGTTGAATGATAATTTTTGGCATTGGTAAACAATGAAATAATCTGGGCTAAACATCGAACAAACTTACCTTAGCCAGACTTTCGATTGGAAAAAATTGAGAGCTAGAATGGTCCGGCTCACTTTTTGGGGCGGGGGCACTTTTCGCCGCGTGAGTTGCGTTTCCAGTGCCCGCCGTTGCGGATTCCGTCTTCTTGTGAGAGCCATTCCCGGTACGTGTTATATGATTTCCCATTTTACCTTACCGCAAGTACTATATCAAAACCAGCTCTCGCAACACCTTCCACATACCAAACACGATAACAAACACGCACGGTACGCATGCATATGTCTCGAGGCATCGGCATTAACGCTGTAACGATAAAAGAGAGGAACATTAGCGACGTAAGCAAAACTTTTATCGCAGTTTGGACCAATATGAATGTGTTGCGAAACGCTTGTGGTGTGTAGCGTGTTCGTGATTGGTCAACAAATAGGGAATTCATAGTTCTCGAAAAAGAATGTGAAGAAATTGAAACTTTCATCTGACAATACGTTTTCTTATCTAGTTATTATTGTAATTAGCGGTGATTCTCAACGTATGAATGGCAGATATAAGATTGTTCTTTTTAATTTAAAAATTTTTTTCTTTGTCTTTTCTCTTTTGATATTTGATTATATATTTATTTTGCATGCAGAAAAAAAAATAATGTAACTTTGAGGAACAATTTTATCAGCGTTTCATATGTTGCGCCGTAGGTGCGATTAAGGTTGGGTCGAGATGTCGATTTTGCGCTCTCGATAATCCGATCCGACATGGAATCGATGGTAGATCGCTCCGATCGGGGCGCCTTTCACGAGGAGGCGATTGAGTTTCGTTGACCGTGCTGCGAGCTGCGCTTTGTGCGCTTGATTTGTCAAGAAGGCGAGTGCAGCGTAGCGAAGCGAAGCGCGCGGTTCGCCGCGTCGGATGCCGCCGCATTAATTTGTGCTCGTCGGCGTGAAGCGCCGATCCAACGATCCGAGTGACGACTCAGCCAGGGAACCGGCGACGACGACGACGACGACGATTGGAAGAAGAGATACGTGCGGTCGTCTATCCCGTATCGGCGATGTGGCGAGCGTCGCGGGCCGTTGGGCGTTCGGCGGGGGTGCACGCGCGTCCCGTGACGGCCTCGGCGAATCTGCGGATCGAGGGGTGAGGAAGTCATCATACGAGAAGCTCGAGCGCGCTCAGGCGAGACCTCGCACTAGCGAGAGCTCGTGCGAGCGAGCGGGCGAACGAGCTTTACGAAGACTGCCTTTCGACCTGCACCGGAGCCAGGAAGCCGACAACGACAACGACGACGTGCTTTGCCTCGATCACTGTCGACGGTAGGTAAATAGCCACCCTCGATAGAACGTAACGATGGCATCGCAGGGTCAAAGCGCTGTTAATGTCACTTCGCCCGGCACTACGGCAGCGGCAGCGGCAAACGGGCCGCCGCCAACGTCGGCGCCGTCGCCGGGCTCGACCGTCTTGGCCAGCGCGGCCGCTATTTCGGCTGCGAAGGTGCAGACCCTCGCCGCGGGCACTCAACCGTCACAATCGCCATCCCAGCAACAGCAACAACAGCAGCAGGCCAACAACATTGAACCGCTGGATAAAAGTTCCTCGAATACTTTGAAGGTACATTCTTGGTGTATGCTTTTTCAGTGTTGGCTTCAGGTTTTGTAACATTACTGTTGATAAACTCTGGTAGTTAATTTTGATATAAATGCTAGAATTGTTACCAATTGTTACCTTTGTGCGTTTATAGCGTAATCCAAAGATGGAGTTGAGCAGAACCGACTTGCTGAAGTTACTGGGATATCTGGAGGGCGAGTTACAAGCGAGAGACATTGTGATAGCGGCGTTAAAAGTAATTAAAAATATAGAAATATGATCAATTTTGTCATTTGCATTATTATATGACAATTATCATTTTTTCTTCCAGTCGGAAAAAATGAAGCATCTTTTAAGTTCGCGGTATCTTAGTACCACTGCTGATCCACACGCTGCATTAGCTCGCGACGTTGCAATAGTAGGTGGTGTTATTGGAGTTGAAGGAAATCAAATCGATCAGCAAGTCGCTAGCCTAGAGGCACTGGTGACGCAACAAAGAAAAGCGCAGTGTAGGATGACTAAAGTTCTTAGAGATGCCGAAATTAGGCACAGAGCGGTATGTATTTTATTTTTGTTGTATTTCTTGTTTTATTCTGTTACTATTTGGAACACTTTGAAAATTGATTAATTGATAAATTCGATATATGTATAATCTGTAATAAAAATAACATCCATCATGACAGCAAATATCTAAGAAATAAAAGTTATTTATGATTTGATCTAATGTTATCGGCATTAAATAGTATTATTATTTTTTGATTATTGTTATTGTATCATTAGAAAAAAAAACGTTTTCAGGTAATTAAAGAATTAGAGGAGGAGAAGCGGAAACATGAACACGACACTGCTCAAGGTGATGATATCACTTACGGTCTTGAAAAAGAGCGGACAAGATTGAAGAAAGAGTTAGAATTAGAGAAGCAAGAAAAGAAGAGATTAGAAATGGAATTAAAAAAGATTAATGATCATCTTGAGGAGGAAAAGAATCGACAGAAGCAGATAGTACTTCTTCTCTTAGCGGAACGTAAAAAGATTATCACAAAGTACATCGAGGAGAGAAAACGATCGGAGGACTTGGCTCAAATACTCAGTGAAGAGAAGGTAAGGATAGATTCAATGGCCGAAGGCCTCGAGGAAGAAAGCAAAAAGTCACTGCAGATGGAGGCGGAATTGGAGAAGCAATTAGCGCAGTTCGACATGGAGCGGCAGCAATATCGGCAGGCTCTCGCGAAGGAGGAAAAGAGATCGAAGGATTTCGAAACGGAACTGGAAAAGTTGCGATACGAGATGTACACGATGAAGGAGATGCAGACACGCGGTCCTGCGAGGGGAGTTGGTGTAACTCCACCGCCGCCACCCGCAAAACCGGCGAATTTAGTCGCCATGCCGACGCTCAGGCCGGCTAGTGCTCCGCAAACGAGTATGTTTCTGTATGGAAAATTAAAAATAGAAGTGTTGATATTCGATGAAGTTATAAATAACTTTCGCATTACGATAGAAAAAATACTTATCTAAGAAACAGAAATTACAACTCAATATATGCATCAAGATAAATTTTATGAAATGGTATAATGATGAGAATTTTTCTTGTTTTTGATACGCATTTAGTTAATATTACAAAGAGAGTTTATTTCTTTTAATTCGCAATAATCTTTTACAGTGAAAGGAGCTGTCTTGGGTACAGGGACGCCTATGGTTAGTAGTAAAGTTGTTCAACCCACTGCCACAGTGTCCAGTGTTCCTGTTAGTGGACCAAGTAAGACTTACACGTTTTGATATAATAATCTATACCAATTTTGATAAATAATATAACATGTTTGAACATATGCATTCAGTCTAAATGTTTAACTGCGTTCTTGAGCAAAATATAAATTGCATGAATTTTATTATAAAGTAATTAAGTTGTAGGATAATTTCAAAACAATATGTAATTATTTTTTTCAGCAACTGGGATTGCTAGATCGGTAACACCTGGACAGGCACTTACAGGGGTTGCATATACACCTAATTTAGCATCTGTGGGTGGAGAATCTACAGCTCCTCCAGATACACAGGTAACCTATCCACCTTTCCCTACACACTCGACGTTAATTTAAAAGATTATACAGAGCCTATTTATATATGCAAAGTATCACAATAGATATTTTTATATCTAAGAAATATTGCTCCCCGTTTTCTTGAAACAGGGAGAGAGCGCGCGAAAGAAGATAATGATTTAATGTATGAACAGTATATGTTTATAACGATAGCAAAATTCAGTTGACACTGAAGTGAAATCATTTATTTAATCAGTATTGCGCTTCAGAAAATAGGAATTAGCTTTAATATCGATGTCAACATATAAACTCGCGTGTCATAGATATTTAAAAATAGCCTTTGAAGAAGTGATTATTATATATCATAAATTGCGTAAGAGAGATGTTTTTGTTTACTCAGACAACATAGAATTTTATCTATGTACTATAAAGACTGTAATCGATAGTGTAAGTAGGCTCTTTATAAGTCAAGATCTACGAAATTGAAGTTTTACGAAAATAGTGCACAGTGTGTCGTTGATATAGATGTTAAACTTTATTCTTTAACCGTGTTCCTTTTTTTAACTCAGGATATAATTTATGACCTTTGATATTGCAATCGAGAAATACGCGAAAAGTCATATATAACAGAAAGATGAATTTCTTTAATGATTAATATATATTACATTACTCGACAGCTTTATTTTATAATAAGAATAATGCATTTGTTATATATTACTAATTTTACGCGAGCACTTTATACATTTTTCTCTAGTCTTAAATATTTTATTTTGACACTTATAGGTCATATAGATATCGCAATTTAGTCATGTATTTATTGCAATTATATAACTATTACGATATTTAGCATTCTTTAATTTAAAACAAGACGCAGGTGTTACATATATCTATATATTTATATATACAAATTCTTTTGATAGAAACATATATCTATACATACATATATTTTGGTAGTCAAATTATTTAATTAAAAATCAAGACACCCAATGTTTCTGCACTGTTAAATTATATAACAACGCAGAAACATTTCATTAGAATATTAAACTGAATAATTAATTGAGAGAACGATACTATATCAAAAGAAATAACGTGAAAAGTTTAGTTAAGAAAGTAATTTTCGCTTGTTCTAAATAACACCGTTCTTTCTTGGCTTTTATATTATTCTACGTTTAATGCATAAGATTTCTGTCGCACTGACCGGAATTGATTCTCTAATTTATTCTCTATCGCTCGTATCAAATGGTGCACTGAAATTTATGAACTGTTGCTTCACAAATTTCTACAAATGAGACATCACTATAAATATCCAAAAATAGATTACTTCCAAGAATTTTGCTTTATGTTTGATGTGTACTTTGTTCACAATTTATTTGTAAAGTTTAGTGACAGTTATTACACTTGCAACGCTATATTATACATGTCTTATAAGTTTACACAGATTACCTAGAGTTATATTTTATTACGATTACTTTTATTTTGTGTACATAAGATTATTATTATTTCACATATGTACATCGACCGATTCCTATAATTAAAAAACAAATTGTATGCAACTTATTTCTGAGCCTTATTTATAAAATTGTCCTGGCTTGACTTCCTAATCGCTATCCCTTAATCGCTACTACTAAATTATATTGGTTTGGTTATGAATTTTGACGCGCTGTATTCTCGTTTGGTCGGTTTGCGATATGTATCTTAACAAGCAGGCGAACAATTCCGGCCAAGTCGGAAACTGTTATGTCGTAGCATTCACCGACACAGCCTACCTATTGAAATATTTATTTTTCAGATTAGTCTCTCTGTATCCTGTATTCGTCTCTACGAAGATCTATCGCACATATTATGTTTTACTAATCCACTCTTTGGTTGTGTAACTCAGTTACTACGTCTCAAGTATACACCTTATTCTTTGGTGATTTGCAAGTACGCGGCAAAAAAGCGCTCCCGCATCTTCGCAATATTTATTTATTAACAGCACACGATGGTATGCGCACACAATTTGTTTTCAGCATTCTCGAGAAGCCCCGGGCGAAGTTGTGATCGTTTGTTGCTTGAATAACGGTGTAACGTTGTCTTTCTTCTTTTCTTCACAATTTTTTTTTTCCGCAGCTACCATCTTTACTTTTCACCGAGTCTCTCTCTGCTTTGGATTAGTTCTTTGGTATGGTTCTTTTTCCTGCACCCCCCCCCCCTTCACGCAGCCCAAGAATAACGTTTTCACGGTGTTCGCTCTTGTCTGGCGGCGGAGTGTGTCCGAAAGCGATGATGGTTCACTGCACTTCCCTCCTTGAAATCGGTCATGGTTGTGTTCCTTCCTCAGGCCGCAGACAAGCGACAACCGGTTGTACCTGCTACCGTTAGTACGGCGGCCGCTGCTGCGGCTAAGCTTCTCCCATCGTCGCAAGCCGTCGCCGCCGCAGCGGGGAAGCTCGGCTTTCACGTCGGCCAGTCTGCGAGTCCCGCCGCCAGCCCTTCTGTACAAGCATCCGGCACCGCTGCGGCTGCCGCCGGCGGTGCTGGTATACTGCCTGCGAAAAAGCCACCGATCTCCCGCGGCGTGCCACCCCCGGTACCGCCCAATAAGCCAGTGGTACCGCCAAAAAAGGAGGCGGCCGCTTACCTCAGAAGACCGGAATTGCAATCGCAAAGCGCGCCGCAACAGGACACCGTGAAATACGGCAAACAGCCGGCTCCGTCGCACAGCGCAGCGGGCACGGCGGTGAGCGGAACCGCTCCTCCCGTGCAACAACAGCAGCCGCTCCCGGCGAGCACCACCCAAGCTGCTCCCGACGAAGAGGTCAGTAAAACAGCGGAGTCAAAGTAGATGCTAGATTAGCGGAATTGTTATACGCACCTGCAGTAAGATAAAAAAAAAAAACTTGCTAAAAACCGCACTTCTTGGCGAACGCATAATAGACACGGTATAAAATACGCACTTGTACACAATTTCGATGCGATATGTTATATGTGTTCAATATACAGACCATTGAATGTGATTTCAGACAAAGCCGCGTTGATTTAACGCCGAAAGAGAGAAAGAAAGTAAAAGCGTGAACGTATATACACTGAGATACAATATAAAAGAGAGAACGCTACGCCGCAATGCTTGGAATCTGTGCTGGATCCGCTGCATCGTGCAAGAGATTTCGTATTTGCAGAAGATCGTTTCTAAGATTGCCAAGAGAGAGAAGGAGATGCTTTATACATTCGGTACATTTTTTTACGACCGTTCGTAAGGGACGACGGTGCGTGTTGTACGTGTTACGACTAAGATCTCACCAGTCGGCTGGCCGCATCCGAATTAATCCAAGATTCTATTTCGCAACTGAATGGTAGTTATAGCCGAAACAACCGCGGGAAATAGAGATATTTCTCAAATGTAGAATAGCCGCTGTAGGTTCCTAGCTTGTTCTGCACGGATTTATTTGAACGATGGCGTTAGATAAACAATCGTGGGACAAACATTAATTAATATCGACGAACGCAAATCGTTTCTGCGCGAATACTGAGCGTTAACGTAACGTGGGGATTGTTAATGTCTAAAAAAAAAAAAAAACTTTAAGAACTAGTCGCAACTCAGCGCCGTTTGACACCAAATTTGAAATTTTCCTTCCCCATTTGAGGAGCGATGACGTAAAACGAGTTGAATTTGTTCTTTCGCAACTCTTATTGGCTTTGTACAAATCTTTTTGGTATCTATTTTTATATATTTGTAAATTTTTATATTCCGAAATATCTATAGGTATTTTTTTTCTATCTTTCACTCGATAATACGTACAAGACAAGCGCGTATACTGAGTTATCGAAATATTACGAACGCCTCGCAAGGAGAACTGAACTGAGGGTGTTCCTAATATTTCGCTAACTGAGTGTAATGTTAAGTCAAATCTTCCTAAGGCTGACTTTTTGACACATGGCATTTTGCAAATTTATCACGAATTTTTCTGACTGGATTCAACGCGTTTCGCGTGATCGTTCTGCATTTATACCACGGGTAGAACTATAATCTAAAAGATAAATGTTAAATTGCTAAACGAATTCTGTTAAGCTAGACTGTTAGATGCAATTTAGCTAGATGGGAAAACAAACTATCACGTGCTATAATCACTGCCTTGTCTCACATAATTGCGTATATCAGCTACAAGCTTAGAGCTATCCGGAAGAAAATATTTTGAATATCGTCGAAGAAATAGGCGTCACTGTTTTTTCAAGACACAGTATTGATTTCGCCATCGAGACGTTTTAAATGTTGGAAAAAAACGAAAGTAGAAAGGAGATCGATGTTTTCTACTCAATTCTCGAAAATTGTTGATACAGAAAAGGCGATTGTACTTTTGCACATTCTGTCTTTTTTTTTTTTTTTTTTTAATGTAACAGTTCATTGGTATCTCGAGTAAAACTCTATGTCACTAATGTAAAATCAATGTCCATCTATGAAGAACATATGTAGAGAAAATGTAGAAGTGAAAAAATGTATATACACACACACACAGCTCCCGCGTTATGATTTTAGGATTTTTAGCTGACGCATCTCTAATTATACAGTGTGATCTCTAAAATTAGTGTACTCCTGGCGTTTTAAGAGTCTTCCAATGTTTTAGTTACGTTTGTAGAATTTAAGTTCGGTTTTAGTCGCGTCCAACGATGGTCCGATGATAAAATACATTAATCGAGTGTATCCACGCTATATGTAACAGTCATTCTTTCAAATCGTCATTGCGAACAGATAAGTAGTAGCAAGAACTGGGACCAGGACCAAGGAAGTTTTACACAAAGCTTGTGACACACACTGAGAAAAACAAATTATGCTCGCAATAATAGCAACAGCAAGAACAACAACACGGCAACTTCAACAATAAATATTAATAATAAACGTTTAAATATAATAACGATAACAATAATAAGATTAACGATATATCGCTAACACGATTATGTTGGTTGGACGATACTAGCGATAATAATTGATAATATGATACTAATAGTAACGAGACTAACAAGTGTAACACTAGTAGCATTAGCAGCAGCACAGCAGCGACAGAAGTAGTATTAATAAATATTAGAGAGTAGCGCTAAACGACGATAATAATACTGAGTGTGCTTCTCGAAATAAGAAAGAGGAACTATGTCGGCGAGAGATATTATTAATAAAAAAAAAAAAGAGTGGAGATCTCATTGCGCGTTGTGCGTACTACACCATTTCTAAGTCACGATAATCCAAGAGATTCGTCCGAGCTAGACTGGGTGTACATTCAAGAGTTTTACTCCGCGTTAGTGGCTCTCGTAGCGAAAGCTGTTTGGAATTAGGACCGAGAGTGGCTTTTAAATGCTAATGTCTACTCGAGAACATAAACTATCGCCCTCCGAGGGCGAATCTTGACATATATAAACTGTACACGCTATACACATGAAATTTTATGTACATAGAAAAGCGATGTGAAGGAAATGTTTGGTAAAACTCTCAATGAACATCTGCTCTCGAAGGCCGCTGTGTTCTCGTATCATCCATCGCACAAAGTTTCCGTTTTCCGTGTCGGTGCGATTAATGAATAATTATTAGTAATTAACGCGAGAAGGGCCCGACCAGTGATTTCGGGCGAGTCACGAAGGATTTATCTCGCTCGAATAGTAAAGTTCATCGTTTCTCTAACTTTCTATCTTACGTCGCCGCTTCTCAAGCGGCGGAAACCGCTGCATGAGATGTCCTATTTAGAAGAACGGGTGGGTCCTTTCAGCGTTAATACAGAAACGGACACACGTATACACGCGTATATTATACGATATAGCTCCACGGAAACGAACAATACTTTGGATACTTGATTGATAGGTAATCAATGTACATAGATAATCGATATGTAAAGGCGTAAGTTAGCCGTAAAAAGATAGAGACGTTGATGGAATATGAGAATTCATATGAATCACATTCATGTCTTGTTAATTTTATCGAATGCATCATGTATATACGTGTATAAGATACAATATGCCAATCGCATGTTAGGGCGAGTTAAAGTTTCAGGAGAGCCAGTCGTTGTAATCGAAAATGCGAAAGCGGATATATATCGAGCATTTAGAAGAGAAATGCTCACATTTTGAGGCTGTCAGAATATTATATTCTGTAAAACCGATTCATATCTCATTATGACATTAGTGAATTGTTAGTCTGCGACCTTTGTTGGCGTTTTCTCATTAATCGTGCCCATCTTCAAATTACATCAATAGCATATTTAATAGTGAACTCTCCTGACGATGCAATGCTCGTTTATTTCACATTACATGTAGGAAAGATTACCTTTTTGAGTGATAGCGAGATATTTAGAAAAGAGAGAGAGACAAACTTTTATACATGCGAGATGTTCTCGTGAACGCCATTATATGCATATTACGTGTACATTCAATCAAAGCGACCCTTTTCCTCCGCGTCCCAACGGGATTGCACGTGTTTGTTAGCGACAATTCTGCTAATAGGGTAATAAGATGAAAGACATTAATTGCAAAAGGCTGAAAGAGTTCCGGACTTCTGCGCTACTATGAAAAAAACATTGTGCATATTTTGTGTATCGCATCGGTAACAAAACATCGATCGCAACTGAAACTATGCTAGGCACTGTTGATCAAACGTGCTTTATTGTTTTTTCTTTTTATTTGTCTTTTATCTTATTACGATAGAGCGCGAATTTCACCCATGTCAAAGTACTGGATCAAAATGTAATGTATTCACGAGCGAGTGCGCGTACGTCATTTTATAAGTGTTATATTATTAACTACATTCTCTCTGGGTCATAAAATGGGGTGCTCTTGAGTGGAACCAGCCGAGAGAAATACACTTATTAATTTGACTAATTGCTGAAGCGTGTCGTGCGGCTCGATAGGTCGCATCGAGGCCTTCCGAGGGATTGTAAATAATATAACTATTTAATACCGCTTGCATATACATACGAAACCTAGACTTAAACAAAACTGTGATTTTTTTTTACGTTATAAGACATTACACTCGGTTGCTGATTTATTTTATTATCTTCTCTTTATCGAGCCTACGCCGTATAATTAAGGCTTCTTATAGACTTATTGGGCGTTTATCTGTGGTGCATATACATTATCGGTCGGTAGTCAAGAAATTAGGTAGAAATGAAAATATCAAACAGATACTATTGATAAATTAATAAAAATGTCTTAAGTCATGTCTTTGTTAGAAAGAAATAAACTTTTCAACTTAACAGATAAATTGAATTTAATCGGTTTATACGAAGCTTGTTTTATTTTATTGTTATTTATTGTAAAATAAAAATAAGATTGTCCAAACTATTGGCCGGTAATGCATATTTTTATGTTTTTATGTATTTTCATTTGCATCAAGCGGTTCTTAAGCTAGCTTTAAAATCATCACAATGTAAATATATCAAATAACTTCCGCGCTTTTCTAAAAAAAAAAAAAACATAATAGCATCGAAGTTTAGTTCCAAATCTTCCATTAGCATCTATAAATCTCCAAGGAAATTACATCAAACAATAATGATAAAAAAATTTCTTTCTTCGACAAATGAATCTTTGCGAATATCGGTGTATAATTTGTATAAACTCTGTACTCATCGCGAGATACCTGCGGAAGGGATATTTGGACAAATTTGCAAAATTTGCAAATTATTGTAATCTTAATTGATATACTCCGCCGCGATCATTGAACATTTAGAACATAGACGATTCGTATTTATTTTAAACTATATCCTGTATAATGAGATATATCAGCATGGTACCTGTCGATATTAATTGAGTTCACATCGATGATCACGAATAGCAAGCGATTTCATTAATGTATAAAAGTTTAGTGAGTTTCGCAGCGTTTATCGCAAGTAAGAAAACGTTTGGGCTATAAAATTACTGTTTTTCATTGAAAGATGTAAAAAAAATGTGAAAACTTGCTTCCTTTTTAAATGCGCAGTTAAGAAATTTCCTAATCATTATTATCAATTTGTGTTTCTTTTGTGGATAATACAAATCCTGTATGTAATCTTGTTGCGACAAATTCGTTCGAATCTATACAATTTTTAATTGATAACAAAATTTATATAACTAAATATATTTATTGAAATTTGTATTTTATAATTTGGATAATTTAGAAATATTAATATAATGAAATTAGGATGGAGTTTGTAATATTGAATTCTGCAATGTCAATAATTTAATTGTATAGTTGCAAATATTTTAGAAAATTGTGAAAAATCATAGAAAATTATACGCAAGAGATCCAGTACATGAATTGTATTAAGACTGAAGAGTAATAATAATTAATTTCGGCAGTATTGTTTGTCGAATTATAAAAAAGAGATTAAGTTCGAACGCTACAACTGTTTTATCAAAATCTATCTAGTAATCAGTTTCTATAATAATTATTCAACATGATCACAATCGTTATTATCTCATTACTACTATCATGATCATCGTCATTGTCATCCTCTATGTCCAGAATGAGAACAAATGTAATGTAATACAATAGTAATTGTTATCTTCTGTGCTATACAAAAGGAAAAATATACATTGACATATGATTACTAAGGTTTTTTTTCGTTTTTTACTTACATTTTCGTATCCCGAGATTCCTCGGTCGTTCTTTATTCCAAATTCCATGTGCAATAAGACTGGCCGTGTATTTTTACAAAAGTAAAAGTTCTGATTTAGAAATATCGATGGCGAGCAAGTAAATGTAAATAGAGTAAGAAATACTAATAATTCCTTATTGCCTGAATCGTATTAGCGATTAATTAACGACGAAACGGCTTTTCCACTTCCAATCCGTAATTCCATCAGTATGAAATAAAACCAAAAAGAAAATTATTAATATTTAAAATTATTAATTATTGCATGTATATGTGAATATTATGTAATCATAGAAGCAATTCTTGTGTGTAGTTTCTCACTGCTTTTAATTTTTCTACATAACTTAAGTTATATAAAATATACAGTGAGGAACTACTACAAGAATTGCTTCTATGATTATACAACATTCATTCAGAGTAGCTTTTTACCTTGCATTGCGTATTGAATAGTTATTGTGACAACCATCTATAAAGAACAAACTTACAGTCTTATAATATTAATAGCTGTAAAGAAAAAGGTGATCAATGTAATTAGGATGCAATTATAAGATGAAAGAGGAAGAGGCAAGCTAGTAACATCTGACAGTTTGCTAGCACAGGTCGTGGCAGAATACAATAATTGAACGTATTTTTATAAATTTAGCATTTTTTGTGTATATTCTGACTTTATATATATATATAATTTAATTATTAGAAAGATATATTGTTTAATTCGTAAAAAAATATAAAAGATTCTTTGACTTTTTCTCTTTTTACGCATATTCTGATCTATAACTTGCTGGATTTCACACGACTTTGCCAGAAAAGTTTCGGATTCATTAATAACATTATGAGTTATGAGCGTTTCACTGCATAAGCCTAATGTTTCGTATGTGCCATTTATTCTTACCAGTCCTCAATTCAGCCAACTGATAAACTAAGACCATGCCGACACTAGTTAAATTTTCCAAAATTAATTTTTACAAAAGCAATGATTTAACATATATTAAAAATTCTTACAATATACAACATTAATAAAATTAAAAAATAATATATTCTAATATGTAATATCTGTATGTCATTGTGACACATTTCGAAATTGTGAAGAATCTCTTTCAGTCCTTTTTCTGTAAGATCTTGAAGTAAGGCCTCGAAGAAAATTTTCTAAATTTGTTGTCGGTATTCTGATCATCGATAGATCTAAGAAGTCTGCAGACATATTGCCAGATAGATTTGCTTCTGCATACTTTGTAAGCTTTTCATTTCAATAATAAATGTGTTTAAATATATAAAGTTGTTTGTTTTACATTTATTCATAATTATTCCAAATCCATATCTTCCTCGTTATCCTTTTTATCCTCCTCATTCTTGTCATCCTCCTCCTTATCCTCGTTACTATTCTCCTCATCCTCGTCATTATCCTCCTCATCCGCAAATTCGTCTTCAGTCTCGAGTAATCGAATCCTTTTTTTATTTTTACTTAAAAGAGCCGCCACTTTTCGGGGACCACTGACCGCTAACCATCTCATGGATATTCCTTGAAATGGTTTTGGCCACTGCAAAAAGTCCATAAGCTTGACTAAGGGTATCGTTTCGTCGTCGTGATTCTCAAAGGTGGATATATCATGTAATGGCACTTGTAGAAGATAAGACGCATTAATTAGTTTATTTAATATAAACAAACTAAGATAACATTGCGAGTAAAACTGCAAATCCATTATCACATTATCACTGTTTTTGTTCGAATAGTTCTCTAAACAAACACACAGAAAAAATGTCTGCATTCTGGATAAAACTTTCAATTCATAATTATACATAATAACGCTACCAACCTTGATTTATATCTACCGTAGTCATCTTCGAAGTGAAAGATACAGGTTCCGTAGACGAATACTTGATATTGTAAAATTTCAAAATGTTACTGCTCTCAATGTCGCTCATAGCTAACAAGAAATTTCCACTGATTGTTATAATTTGCGAGGATATGAAAGGTGCCAACGACGATAAAGAGGTCGAAGTCATCACAAAGTGATCGATTAAGCCTTCATAAGCTTTATTAAAAATATTTTCTATAGCAGCAACTACGTTGGTATAACATTGTACTAAAGACAAGTTAACATTGTGTTTTACTATATGCGCGTAATTGCGCAAACAATCATTTTTTTTTAGCATAGTTGTCCATTCGCTTCCTTTCGAAGTCATGGGAGTATGTAAATTTTTGTACTGCAGATATTGATCTACTTTGGCTACATTTATTATTTTGCCATTTGCTTTTGGCACGGTTTTATCCAAATTACTCAAAAATTCGGCAATAATTATCAATTCCTCTTGACTTACTTCATTTAATTTACTGGCCATTACTGGTGTATCATTTAATTGCATAATGGTTACGTATAACCACCTATAAATACAACAAAAAACTGAACTGTAAAAACTGAACAATAATAAATTGGTTAAATATTCAATTTTTAATGGGTACATCATACTGGAAAAATGGTTTGTAACAATCCACACTCTGAATTACAACTTGCTTGAATTCAGCCAACTTTGCCAAAAAAGTTGCGGACTCATTAATGGCATTAGTTACAAGCGTTTCATTGCGTAGTCCTAATTCTGCTTCGTGTGTGACACCTGCTCTTACCATTCCTCTCAATTCACTTAACTGATAAACCAAGACATCGCCGACCTTAATTAAATTTTCCGAGACTAAATTCTGCAACAGTAATAATTTAATATTAAAAATTCTTGCAATATACAAAATTAATAAAGTTAAAAATAATATATTATAATATGTAATACCATTATTTCAACGAGACATGTATCAAAGTTCCGTAAAATCTCTTTAAATCCTTTCTCTGTAAGATCTTCAAGTAGAAATCTTTCTAACCTTACTGTCGGTATTCCGATCATCAACAGATTTAAAAAGTCTACAGACATATTGCCAGGTGGATTTATTTCTGCATATTTTGAAAGTTTTTTATTCAGTTCAAAAAACATTTTCTCCCAAGTCTCAGAAGTGGCCGTTATAGTACGTGACAGATGACTCTTTAAACATTCTATGTTGGCTTGGATTTGTGCAATCTAAGAATAAAATATATAGGCTTAATGTGTGATGTAAGGTTTTCGATACAATTTCAAATTTTAGCACAAAATACTTTAAGAAAAAATGCGTTCTTCCTGTAATATTTTTATTATGAGTACAATTGTTAAATATGTATGCAAAACACCTCAAGTAATGCTTTATTCTTCTCAAGCAGTGGACAAGATATTCTTGTTATTTTAATGCAATTATCATCTTTTGAAGTAATCCATATTGGCTCATTAGATCCACCTGTGATGTGCAGAATTGGTCCATTGCCTACTGTTATAGTATCACAATAGAACATACCAAAAATGTATATTAATACTGTGCCATTTTCTTGGCCAATCTGCAAAAAGTACATATAATCAATATTATTTACTAAAATCATAAATATTGTATTCCTTAGAACTGTATTTTTTGTGACACATACATAAAGGATATCTAGAATGTCGGATAAAAATTCTTTGCATTCAGTTTCTGTACTACAACCTTTGATTAATTTAGGTAAGGGCGGCAGGTAATCACTGAATTCATTAGATTTATTACTTATCAATGATAAGCTCTCATGTAATAACCATGTAACACAAACAATTAAATTGTCCACAGGTAATTTTGTTTTATGAATAATGTTTTTAGTTTCAATATCAATGAGGCAAAGTAGTTTTGAATTTTCATAGCATACTGCGAGAAGTTTTCCATCTGGTCTCCATGCCAGTTGAACAGTGGTGTCGGATTCTTCTTGAGGGCTCAATAACCAGACTTTAATGAATGTAAGCCTATAAAGACTGACTTCACCTGTAATATTTTACACAAAAGATAATAATTGTTGATCTTTTAAGAGTTATCCTTGTAAACAAGAGTTAAAGTTAAGTTGGATTAATTCTCTTCCGAGAAATTAAAAGAGAAAAAAAAACAAATTTAATTAATTTTTTAACTAATATTTACAAACAGAATTCTTAAGGGTTTCCAGAATCTAACCTTTTACATTACTAATTGCTAAAAGATCCATTTTTGGTGACCATAGCATCGTCGTCACTTCTGTTGAGAACTGACGTGTATTCAGCTGTTTTATTTTATTCATATTTCCAATTTCTGTTTAAGTACAGTGTTTCTTCCTATATAGAAACCTTCTTCAAACAATACTTTTGTTTCTAACGTATTCTGCTTTCATATATTTACACCACGTGTTAAGCACTTCAGAAAATTACTGTTATGTGTTATATTGCAATTAGATGATATAAAAGCAATTAACTTTTCGATGAACTGTCTTTTATTTGTAATTCGTCTTATGATTTAGCTAAGCAATATTATATCCGCATGTTTAAGACAGATTAACGAGAACATATTCGAACTAGAGGACAAACGAGAAAAACAGAATACAAGCGTGTAAACAGAGTGTGTGTAAGTAATACGGATATATTATTACTGGTTATGGCAGAATTGAAATTTATTAAATATATGAATAAGTATTGTACTTACCGAATAAAATACGGCAATATGTGCTTGATATTAGAGTAGTCGCTGTTCGGGTTGTGTGTTATTCTCGGATCGCGCAATCCCGTAATTGAAACAGCTTAGAATCGAATAGTGTATACCAGTGTGCGGAATTAGTTGAGATCGACATTTCAGTTGATTTTCACGATTAACGCCTCCTTTCGTATCCTTTACGCGCGCGACGCAACCGCTTGGGCAAGCGCCACCGAGTGTTAGGAGCGGCATTATCTATTATGAGTGGGTTCTTCTCCCTTAATTGTTGAAATTTAAAAAAATTTATTAAAAATGGGTAACGTGGAAAATCTATATTGAAATATTTCCATATAATAAATTTAAAAATTATAAAAATATTTTTAATAAATTTTCTTAAATTTCAATAATCAAGGTTCTTTTGAGAAAGGAACCCGCTCATTAATTGGCCCTGGCAGCTGTGGCACGCATGGTACGGAGAAGAAAGAAGGCGTTAACCACGAAAATCAGCTGAAATACTCAACGAATTCCAAGCACTGATGTAGCGCATGCCTAAAAGGCAAGGAAGCACTTGCCTAGTTGGTGGTTGGGGAGGAGAGATTGCGGAATTACAGGATAACTTGTGAGGATAACGCGTATACGTATGATAGAAAAAGACACTGCAGGATAGAAAGAGATAGCGAAAGAATGGAATTCGTAAACAATAACGCACATACGCCACGCGTTGACATTCTTGAATCTCTTAATACAGCACGAAATATTTTATGTATTAAAAAATGATACATTCTTTGCGTTTCAAATTTTAATTCGAAAAATGAATTACTATTGTATTCTTTATCGTATCATATTCTTAAAATTTTTATCTGTAGATTTATTAGCGTTGTCTAAGATAAGAATTTATTTCGGTCGATTAAAATTCAAAATTAATTATTATCTTAGACAACTTTAACGGTTTTATAAAATAAAGATAGATATGTGGATACTAATTTACTGATAAAAATTATGATACATTTATAATTTGAGATATGTTTTAATATGTCACATTAGCTGTGATTTATGATTATGATTAATTTATTATTTTCAGCATATTTTAATTATTAAAATATTTTAAATTTTATTTTGAAATTAATTATTGTAAGGTTTGCAATAATGACTGTGACAGTGATTTTTATCATTTGGAGAGTGGCAATATTGCTTTTCGAGAGATGTCCAATCGTAGCCGTTAAGGGATGCATCACGACCGCAGCAGATTTGTATTCGAATTGTTCTACATTTCTCGAAATTTTTATTGTCTAAAAGAACATTGCGCGTAAAATATTATTACGAATATCTTTTGTAAAATATTGGACGCTTGTAGCAATGTGTTAAATATCGTGTGTAAACATTATTTTGTGATAGGCGATCAATTTCTGTGCTTGTAACCGTTCGAAATTCTCATCGTATCACTTCTTGCTGTTGTACAGCATAATTGCAGTAAATGCATGATCATTGCAAAGCATATACATTCTATAATTAGTTATGCTACTTATAATGATAAATCACTGGTTGAGCATGTCTCGTATCTATCAAAATCTTACGAATTTTATTTCTATTTCTATTTCCTGATAATTATATGAAGTTTGCCGCGTTAATTGCATAGTCACTTCGAGAATCGCAATATTGCTCTTCCATAGATGTCGAACTGTAGCCATTTCGAAGTGCATCGCGTCAACTGCAGATTCATTTTATTTACAAATCGGTCCGTATTTCTTGTATTTGTTACAGTTCCACTTTTAAAAAAGGCATGAAAGATCGATATGTATCGAAAGTATTGTTGACGCTTTTCCGCGACGCTGATTGGTTATCTCTATTATTCTGGCAGTTTGATAGTTTGAGAGCAAAGGTTATTTTGGCGGTTATTTAAAATTAAAAAAAAATTGTTTTTAATGTTTAGATTTCATAATTATTAAATTATTATAATAAGTGCGCGCGCGTAGCGCGCGCCTGTATTGTTCTAGTCAGACAATTGCTTGTAAAGTCGATTCGTCTTCGTATCCAAGTTATTTTTTTCGCCAAAATGCAACGAAGTTATCATCAAATGTATCATCAAGAATCTATGATCATCATTATTACTAGGTATGCATATATTATCTGCATTATATTTTTTGTTTTCTCAAATTTTCTAAATTTAATATTGTAATTCATGTACTTGTTACAGTTTAAACAAATATTGCTTGTAAAGTTGACTCGTCTTCATGCCCAAGTTCTCGCTAAAGTGTAATGAAAATAACATCGAAGGTATCAAGGATTAATCATTATGATCATCATCATTACCAGTTATGTATATTGTATAATTCGTTTATCTGCATTATATTTTTTGCATTTTCGAATTTTCTATAATTAATATTGTGATATATACATTTTGATCGACTAAATCCGCTAATAAATGCGATCATTATGATATTATTGATAATTGATTGCATAGAGTAATTCTCTGGTTATCATTAATTATTTATATATACCATGGTACCATTACCATTTATATATATACCATGGTATAATAATTCTACATTAGAGTTACTGATAGGGAAGGAAAAAGGCAATAGAAATTGTTAATGAGAAAATTACAATTAATACAAATTTATAAGTTGACAATCAGTTTTAATAGTTGCAATAAAAAACAATATACAGAATACAGATACATAATAACCCTAGCTGACGAAAGGCTCTCCTAGGTAAAATGTTGTTAATTGTGTAGTGAAAAATTATGAATGGAAAAACAAGATGATACACATAATGAGTGGCTTATTTTTACCTATCTGCTTATCGGTTAGTTCATTTACCTAATTACAATGATTGAAATCGTTAATTATAATTATGTCTGTATAGACACACAGGTGTGTATACGTAATAGAGATTCTTAAACGCTACACAATGTTGCTTTTACTTTGGTTTTAAATTAAGGACTAGCGTGTTGAGCTTCGCTCTGAATCTGTGTATACGTCTATATAAATCAACATTTATATCTCATTCTTTACATTTAAAAATTATTGGCAGTTATTCGAACATAAATCACGCCGTCAATTCTTACATCGTACTAATAATGCAATTATTATGAAATGAGTATGTAATTACACGTTTAAAAAAAAGATAAATGCACGTATTTGTTCCTAATTATTTTGCGTCTTCAAATTTCGGCAATGAGCACAGTTCAGATAAATTACACGAATGTGTCTTAAAACAATTGTAAATGCATCACGCGTATTCTTCTCCTCTCTTCTTTCTGTCTTATGTATCACGGTTTAAGTAACGTGGTGCGGCGAAGGCACAAGGCATGTATTTATTGAATGTCGTGCAACAGCGCGAATATACGTGTGTACGAGGGAGTTAACAGAGCAAGATGTTGCTGAGCAATAATCATTGTAAATGCATTTTTGTACGAAATATACCTCACTGACAGCAGTGAACCGACGACGGTGAATATTTTCGTCGTCGCAATCGATACACAGATAACGGAGCGAAGCCCACAGTGAGTGTAGTGTTGTGTATACCATTTAGAATTGGAAATGTAATTTAGAATTAGAATGTAAAAATACTATGTATATGTACATTAATCAGTTAATCGTGGGCATTCAATTATGTTACACCGTTACATCGATCAGAGAGCTTTTCCTTTTCACATCTTTCTTTTTTCCTGTCCCTACTGTTTTTGTTTTTTCTTTTCTTTTTTTTTTTGACGTATCTCTGTTGTACTCGGCGAAACAGCGCCGGTCACGTTGAAAATTTTTCCGTCGCACGGTTGTCGACCGGCACTGTTCTCTGTGTTCTTTCGTCTCATTTTTGCATTAACGGTATGTTACACATCGTCGAAGAACAACGTCGATCAGTTGGCACATAAAACGGAAGCAACATTTAGACCAGTCGCGGCGATAAATAGTTACGTACAAATTTCAAAAAGGGGGGGGGAGTACAACGTACTTTCGTGTATCAATTGGCGTAACGCTCGGCACAAAGGGTAAAAATTATCTTCTATCTACGTGTGAAAAAGTAGAATAGCCTGGTCAATAAAAAAGATCCTCATAAAAGATTGTATGAAAAACGTGACGCGAAGGCGATGGAACACTGGCGATATCAATTTTGGAACGGATATAATTTCGCGGCGTGCTTATTTTTCGCTTTATTCGTCCTGATGCATTCTTCTACTTTTTTCCTGGTTTTAAATCTTCGTCGATATTTATTCCTTCGTTGCGATACGTGATACGTTCGCAGTGTCGGTGAACGTTTTGTTGATAATTCTCATTTTTCAGAAACGATCATGCTGCCGTTAATTTCTATTTATCGATAATTATCATCGCGGTAAAAAGAACGATACAAAGTGAATATACCAATATACATCTAGTATACAAAAGCTCTCGATTCGTTCTTTTTTTTCGTAGTTTGATATAATTCGTTTAAGTATTTTCATTTCTTTTTTTCCTTTCGTGTCTATCTAAGTGCTATGTACATTATACGTTTATATATATATATATATTTATATATATATACATGTAAAACGATTAATTGATTCCTTTCCATATTCTTAATGATTGTATAATTAGGATTGACTATGTCTTAGAGTAATCAACGAAATTACGAGTTGTTATTATTATGTAAAATATCAAATATCGTACGTGTTAGATGGTATGTCCATCTCCAAGGTACCATTTTGGACGAATAGCGGTCCGTTTAACATGCCTAGCACTTTGATGAGCAAATACTTTGGAGATTACATAAATCTAATAATAATCTTCAGGTAATATTAAGTATAGATGATTTGTTTTTTTTTTATAATTACAAATATAAAACATGTATATGTAAATAGAACTCTTAATTATGCGCGAACATGTTCATCTCTAATTGAGCATACGTGAATTTCTTATCATCAGTCTAAGCCGAACTGTGCGGCTCCATACACAACGGCGGTTTAACAATACACGTTTCTTTTTTATTTCTTCATTTTTTTCTTCTTTTTGTCTTAAGCTTCGTAGAATCTACCGTTAACAAATAATCGCTGTAATGAGAAACAACAATATATGCGTACGCTACGGAAAAACGTTATTCATAAAACTTTCAAACAATCTCTCAATGAGCGATGTGACACGCGCGACTACCGGGCGGGTAAAGTTTAATTGTCTCCTATAAAAACAATTCCTCACCACAGGATGAGATGCAGATCTCAGAACATCCTCTCGCACACGTCGCAACCGACCTGTTCTTTTTCCTTTCCTTTCTCTGCGCTTCTTGGCTAAAAGACACCGAGGAAATTTTACCACCGACGAACAGACGACAGAATAATCGTCGCACGGGAGTGAGCGCAATAAAACTTCGTAAGCGGTGAAATTATATTAAAATTAGCGCGAGGATTGGTATCATTGCATCGGCGACACTCCCCAATTGAACAATTGTTCGCACGATCGACTTGGCAGGACGCGACGTCGCGAAGTTGTAAGGACTTGCATCTCATTGTCACAGCCCTTTACCGCCGGAACGCGAGTGCAGCGTGCGTTACATGACTCTCTTTCTCTCTCTTGTCGTAACATATCTCCCTTACGATAGGCCAAACGCATCAAGTTTCGTCGTCGTCGTTTTCAAAAATATATATACGTTGACTACTTAGGCTTTCGACGAAGAACGGAAAGACGTTGTCTCGTCCAATCAACGGGATAATAATTTTTTTTTTCCGGATATACAGCGTTATTACCCTCTAGCAATACTTCGTTTATAGCCTAGGTATAGTGAGACCCTCATATGATCCATTTGAATTACTTGTTTTTTTTTTTAAATTTTTTTCTCTTTCGCGACCGTGTGAAACATTGAGACATTATCGCACTATTTACATGGTTTAATCATAATTAGTAATTGGAAATAAATGCAAAAATATATGTGTATGAACATTTAGTCGAGCTAATATGAATATCCGCGTAATTTTCCGACCATCCGCGTAAATGTCGCACAACAGCCGCTCTAGGGCGAATGCTTCGCGCGTTTATGCGAATTTTCTTCGTGCAGCTTCGTCTCGAATGGCGCCGCGCTGTCGACAGAATATCTTCGCCCTTAACTGAAGACCATTACGTAGCAATTAAACTTATGTACTATTGTCTTTGTTCAAGATATCACTACGCCAAGACATTCACTGACTTCCTGTCTTTTTGTTCTCCTTTTTTTTTTGTTGATTATGTTACACCTCGTGTCGTCGTCTCGCGTAACAATCACGTCGCGATAATCGGAGTTTACGATGATAGAACTACGATCTCGACGACTCGTTTAAGCGGGCTGGCATCGTCGTGTGTTCTATTATCATAATACGTATCTGGTTTTTGATCGTTTTAGATGCATCGTGGATGCATCGGCAGCACAAGCTCGGTCCGCTCGTGTTCTCGTAATGAACAAAAAGATCGGAATTACCAGTAAACATAAGTGTATGTTTTTAACGAGCAGCCGATCGGCACTCGGTTTATGATTAATGTCGCAAGATTGTATGATGTTCAATATACATATATTGTATACGTATAATGTATCGCGTAGATAAAAGTATATTCATCGAGACGATATACAGTCAATGAATTACCTATAGTATTGACTTTAGGATCGGCAGTGAAACTCTTTTTTTTTTGTATACGATTTATAGTATCAGATTTGTTTTTTTGTTTCGTGAAAGTTGCTCGGGAGACAACAATCGCAGTTGTACAACGTATAAGCGACGGAAGGCGACGAAAGGAAAGAAAGTTTAACTTCGAGCTATCGCATTCTTTGTAACCTTTCAAACGTTCCGCTTTGTAATAACGATTGTCTCGTCTTTTTTAGCTTCGAATCGCCGAGATAAACCGACTTTTCGACGCGAAAGTAAACAATGGACGGTCGTGACGGATATGCCCTCCTGCAAAGTTTTGAAAGGGCGTTATCGTTCATTAATCGCTATCAGTATTTTGAAAATTAATATCAATGATCGTAGCATGCGTGAAAATCTTATTCGGGTTAGATCGATATCTTCGGACCAAGATAACCAACGTTAATCTGCGAATTGGAAGACAGATGGATACATTTGTGCAATAAAGAAAAGTGGCTTATCGCTAATTAATTCTAACAAATTTTTCTTGAGCTCTGTTTTTGTGCGAGTTAAAAATCAAGTAATAAATAATATTTTATAAAATGTTATTACTTGGTGTTATTTTTTGTAGCATTTTCTGAGCAAATATACTGGATATAACATTTTCTTTCTCTCAGCTTCAAAAGTCATGGAATGACATTGGTTATCTTAGTGCCAAGGAACGGGCGTATCCTATAATATTTATACTGATAATAGTATTACTGTTGAGATAGTGACGCTTGTGCGATTGCACATTTGTTCCAAAGACAAGAAAGTTTTTGGAATCTGCATTTCGGTGTCAGTCACGGTCGGAGCGAGGGAGATCGCTGAGTAATATTTCGAAAATGTCTCGCGGATTTTTCTGGTTGTTTTTAACACCTGCATAGTGATATCTAAACACAATCGCTATGACGAATAGTGTATACATCGACGTGTTTCCTGCGCGAAGCAACCGAAGCCACCGAAAAACAAAATTATTGCCGCGGGTTTCCCTATTTCTCTATATAATCACGCGTGTATTTACAGAAAATATACTTTCCTCGTCAATCATTCGCTGATTATCGCCCGCTGATTTCGCGGACACGCTAAATAACGCTAAGGCGAGCGGACAAAGACAAATAGTTAATAACGGGAGAAAAGGGAAAGGCAGAATAGTGGAAGAGGAACGGTAAAATCATTCTCGAGCTTCTTAGAGAACGCTCGCGCGTACCGGCGCGACCGTTCTCTCTTTCTGTGATCGCCGTTGCTCGCTCTTCGTCGAGCGGCCAATTATACATACATATATATTCCTAAGATTAGAATTCAATCGCGTAGGAGAGCCCCGCGCGTGTCTCCTCTCGTCTAGGAAGTAGCCGCGTGGAAGGGAAAGGCGTGTTTACAGCGTGAATCTGGTGCATCACTCTCTCGTCGCACGTAAACGTTCTCTTCGTTCTCCTTCTCGCTGTCTTTCTTCTATTTACACACTTCGTCGCACTTTTGTTCTCGCGCACCAAATAGAGTCTTCGAAAATTGCTCAGGCGCACTGATGACGAATGCCAGGATCTTCGACCGCGATACCGTAATTCGCGAGTCGTCGCCGCTCGTTCATCCTCTTTATCGTAGCTCACGGAGACGATCGGTGACGATCTGAACGATTCAGAGGAAAATCCGTCATCGTAGCACCCTACGTCGTTCAGAGACGCGTGCTCCTCTCCGTGACTGCGACCGGTCGCTGATCTTCGTCGTCGTCCTGGGCGACGGCGCGGTATTTGCCGCGCACCGAGCTAGGCCCGAAGATCGGCGAGCCTCAGACAAGATGTCCATCGATGTCGGAGTAGGTCGGCGTTGCCGCGAACGTGGACAGCGGATGACTCTGGCAGGGTGGTGGCGGCGGGGCAGGATGCGTGTGTGCGTGCGGATGAGGTCCGGCGTTGTTGGGGCCGGCGCGGGCGAATGTGGCGGGTGGCGGCGGCACCGACGGCGGTATCGGCGATTTCGTGCCCGCGGTCATCACGGTGACATCGGGCGGCGGCACCGGACGTGGCAGCGTCCTGGTGCGCGTCAAAGTGCCGGTGCCGGCGCCCAGGTGCCCACCCATTATGTGACCGGTCGAACCTAAGGATGTAGGATAGTAGGGTCCGCCAGACGGATCGCCGATCGGCGGCGGTGCTGGACTTGGATTGCCGTCGTAGCTCATGTAGCCGCGACCGCCGTTGTCCATCTCGACGCTGTAGAAGCTTACGTCATTGGGCGGCGCCGGGCTCGGGTTGCCGATGTAACTCGACTTCGATACTGTAACGTTAGATAAATTAACGTGATATTACGAAAATGTTAAAAGGTAGCACAAATGTGGGGACGGTAATATTAGATGTAGCTAAAGGAACATCGACGACAAATTGACAGATTTCTCATATAGTATGATACGGTATATGCTGCAGGATTCATCAAATTTCAATAGTATAGTTTACATTTACGGTTTAATATTTTTTTTTTCTTGTGTTTTATTTCTTGTGTTATATAAAAAAATCTAAACTGCGAATAATCTCACTGCTATATATTTAATATAGCTATAATTAATATTATAATGCAGAATGTAAAGAAAATATAGTAAAATGCAGCTTTATGTATTTCTATATCTCTCTCTTTGCTTAGATTTATTAATATTTGCAAAGTATAGTGATGAAATATGTACCTGAAAGTGTCCCACTAGCAGTGGTTCGCTGCGGCGGCGAATCCATGTTCATGGATGTTTGCATATGATTGCTGCGACGACCGAGGGTGCCCTGATGCACCTGCATTTCTAAACCGCCTTTCCCGTAGTCCTGCATAGTTTGATCTATTAAATACGTACTAGCTGCGGTTTTGCGCCCCTCGTCCTGCTATATATAACAAATTGACAATCGTTGATTTGTGATTTGCGCCCCGATGTCTGATTGTAATTGCATTTGGAAATCGGAACAACGTGAAATTCGTTCTCAAAGTTAAATTTCTTGTTTTAATAATTTTTATCTGTATTGCAAAATTTCTCTTATGCAAATAAGTAAGTTTCGAATTATTTCGTTACATATTATTTCTATAAATACACATTAAATTTTAATTGCCGTATTTCAATAAATTTAAATAGGCCAATTTAACGGCAATTTAAGTGTATTTATAAGAATAATATATAAATTTCTAACTCTTCCATATTTTAATTTCTTGCATTTCATGTACCATTCTTTGTATATGATATATCCAATTGAAGCTTTAATATCATCTTATAATCTATATTATATATTATATTATATAATATTATTTTTAATGGAAGTATGAGTAATGAAGTGAAAATTATTTACATTATATCTGGACAGTATTAAAATACTGATAATTAATAATGATGTAATATATTAAATTATGATAATGTTTTAATTGTAATATCTTCTATATTAATTTGCATGTTTGAACAATTACTGCAATTAATCCTGTCTTTATTCCAAGTCTTTACATTAATTTTGCGAAGATAATAATACTAATAATAATGCATAAAATATAATTACGGTATTAGTTATTTACTCATCGCGATCAAACGGATTTTCACATTAATAAAGCTATTTTGTAATTATTAACTCTTTGAGTATAATATTTCGATTCGCGCCGACACAGGTCGGAGTGAACTTGCCGATGAATAACGTGTCGCTCCCAACGTCACAGTGTATCATAAGCAAGATGGACTCCAGCAGTGCAAAAGTGGATCGTGTTTCACGTTATTTTTTAGTCGTAATGAATGCAATAAATCCCGGGAGTGCCGTTTAAAGTGACGCGTGATTATCATATTGCATTAATCAGTGTCCGCAACCGTAATTAGTCATTTAGTGTTTCTGATCGACTTTTATCCATCTGAATGAGCATTCGGGGCAATAGAACAACGACGCGGGAACGTGGTAACAACACAACGGTTTCGGTGAGTTAATTTATTCAATTACTAATTAAAATTCAAGTAGTTTGAACAAAAAGCGAATTTATGTCTAATAAAAAATAGAATATATATCTTTATTATATTTTTATTCGCTCAAGTATTTTTATTCGATCAATAATAAATTAAACTTTCATGCATATTACATTTGTTAATTGTTAAAAAAGTAAATATATAATAATAAAAACCGACAACTGCAATCTACTTTGTTTGCAAAAATTATCAAACATTTCGGACCATTTAATCCGGAGAAATTGTTTTTGCCAATATTTTAATGATATATATTTTATAGCATAAATTTATAAATTATAACATAAATAATAGTCTTTATTTACAAATCAAGAAATAATAAAGACCAAAGTATTATTATAGAGTTTTTCCTTCTGATCAGTTTTTAATCAGTTTGTTCAACCTTATTTCATATTTTATTACTTTATTACTCTTACTTCCACTGAATATGAGATCTAATGCTACTGCAAGAAAGCAAGCCAGTATTTTAATGAATATGAAAGCCACATTATGAGAGTGTTTTCGTAGAGAATTTATGGTATCGTGAAATCTTGTTAAATTAAATTATTACGAGTGTCAAGCTCGTACAGTTTTCATCACAACGTTATTTTCCGCTCGAATTTAAGAGATATGTTAGATTTACCTGAGGGGATTACCTTTAGACAAACTCTTTGCGCTTGGATGATGTGAAGTTATTATGACATTAATAGATGACGACATATCATAAAATGAAAATCTTATATGAAAATTAAAGTATATTAAACTGTGCCAGTGTAAAAAAGAACATAATATTAGTATAGCTATTAACAAAAATTGCTCAGCTTCAAATATTATTTAAATTAGCTTTGTAATTAGAAATTTGCAAAAGATTTCACTGAATATAAATAGATTCTCGCATAGTTTTGAAATAATCGATAAATAAAACAATATCATACTTAATAGTATGATATAATATAAAAATTAGCAGTGAGAAAAGACAATAATTTTCATATGAGCAAAAAATAATCCCGTTTACTATTGGTTATTGCAACCCTTAGTGTTAGATGATAAGTAAAACGGTGAAAAAAGGAAAGATCGCGGAGATCAAAGAAAATGAGGAAAAAGAGTTAGGGGAAAAAGGAACAAAAACGGAGCGAAAGCGAAATCAACAAAATTAATAGGAGGATGAAACAGAAAAAGTGTTGCTAGAACTCAAACCTACCCTCCGGAATTACTTGTTACTAAGAACATACTGACTGATGGCACTGACCACGTAATCGTTAGCGTCGAAGTTGACGTCGCTCTTCTCGTCCGACATGGAACTTAATTCACCGGTCATTGTGTCGCCGTTGACGGTGGACGGTGCATACATATCCGCGGTCTGCGACTTGTTGATACCTGCAGAAATAACGCGTAATAAATATGTGAATGATAAAGTGAGGTGCGAATAGTAAGGCTACAACTGCATACAGAAGAATTTAATATTGAAACAATTTTTGCTCATTTTCTTCTAATTAATTGCACTTATGTGTGTTTTGAAGAAAATTAAATTTTTCTAACGAATATAATCACTTTAAAAGATGTCTAATAATAAATTCAAAACGGGACGCTCTGTATACAGCCTGTGTAGGGCTAATTAACTTTCTTTGAATCGATGTAATTAAACTTTAAATACTTTAAATTATTTATAATTACAATGTAAATAATGAAAGTAGTTTACAATTGCATTTTTTATCAATTCAAAGCAAGAGCCTAATGTTTCGCTATTATTTTATTTTAAGGAACTAAGCTTGCAAAATTTATTGTAACTAGTTTAAGTCGATACTTAATGATATCTCTTCTGTCATGGCTGTAGCCAAACGTCGGACCGACGTGCGCGATAGTCCTCTACGTGGAAATGTATACGCGCTAAAATATCATTGGTCGTAAACTTACGAGCTTTATTTCGTTTTCGTACTATGTACCACAACATGATGAAGACATTAACGATAAAAATGATGAGGGAAGTCGCCGCTAACGTATAGATATAATTCATCGGAAAGTCGCCCTTTTCCAAGAGGATGTCCGGCAGGTTTTCCTCTTTATTGGGCCCTAGGAAAATAAAGGAAAGAAAGAACACATGATAAACATTATATTTACCAGCACGCTGAGCCTTCTTTTTCGACTTTATTGTAGCAAAGACTATGGTCGCGGCAATGAGTAGGCAAGCAGAGGCGGAAACAGTGATGATAATGACGATGATGTAGGAGGAACTATTCTCGCTTGATGTCAACTCGGTTGGTGGTGCCTCGCCTGCAACCCAAGCCAATGCCCCATCACCGGTTTGTGTTATTCATGCAATGAGAGTGGATCTACATTGTTAGTCACATGTTCAACTTCGAAATCCTCGACTGGCAAATGCTGTAATGCCGCCAATACGGTGGATTTACGCGAGACCAGTAGTTAAGCAGATCGGATAGCAACTAGTTATTTGTTCAGCTCATCTATTATTTTCTCTGCTTGATCGTCTTCCGCACTGTTGTAAACCAGATACGTGTTTGTCAACTGTCGACCGTAACTTTATCGTTAAGCCTGTAATTTCTGTAACGGAGTTAGAGGCGCATAATACTATCGAAAAAATGTCAAAGCTAAACGACACCTTACGTATTACGATACGTATTACAATTGTCAGAATGAGCCCTGCCAAAAACTGTGCTGTGATATTCATGATATGAATGATTCACGATGATTTTCATATATCATCTATGTAAAGTCTGATGATACTTTATTGCAACTTGCCCACGACGTAAATATCATGCGAACGTTCATGAGACACACTAAATGTATGTAACGTAGTACACGATCAACCTAATTACTGAATATGATTAATTATGTGGATGCGGGGCAATCGCGTTTAATTATCTCCCGATGATCTGCATAATGATTTAGCAAGCTGTTGTTTTCCACCATGTAGCGTGAATAACGATGTTACTATCCAAAACAAATACTTTGCTTGTGAGGGGGAAAATTACTATTAACTATAATTTCGGTGAGTTTATCAAGCAGTTTCTATATCATCAGTTTCACTAAATTGTCAAGTATGTTCCGCCACATTTATGTATATATATGTAAAAGTTATGCATGTTAGTTTATCTGCACCGAAATTATATCAAAAATGCTAAGCACTATTTTCAATACTATTTAGCTATTCCCTTAATGATGTGAGGCCTTTCTACGAAAAGTTCTCTTTTCGAATGAAAAAGCGATAAAGGTTTTTGTCTCTACGGTGTTTATCTACAACTTACGAAGTGTCTGAACTTTGACGAGGTCTGGCAAGAAGCCACTATCTCCCTTCTCGTTGATAGCTTTCACACTGAACACGTAATAAGTCCCGAGCGACAGGCCGGATATGGTGGCCTTGTTTTCACCGGGCGAGATGTCCAGGTAGTAGTAGCGAGCCTCGTAATCCAACGCCTGTCGCCATCGTATTTGATAGGACGTCGGCAAGCCGCCGTCGAAACCGCGCTTCCAAATCAGCGTCACCGAATCGTGTGTGACGTTGTAGACCTCCAGATCGCTCGGCTTATCCGGCGGTGACGTGACGTCCAAAAGTATGTCCTCCGAGGATTGCCCCACTTTATTCTGCGCGCGACACTCATATTTTCCATAGTCCTGCGCCTTCACGTTATGGATAGTCAACACTGTTTCGGAGTAGAGCTCAGAAAGCTAAGGAGTACAAGAAGCGAATATACGTTTTATCGTTTTTATATTAAAAATGTAAATATTTGAAGATCGAAATCACAGAGATTATTGAGAGAAGAAAGGTACTTTGAGCGCGATACAGTCGCGATTCTCTTAGCAAAATTTTAATTAGATATTATTCTTTCGACAACTCGTAAATTTCCAACGGTAAATATCTCCCTTAACTACGTCCGACATGAAAATTTTATCAAAGTAAAATTTGCTTAAAGTTAAACGGGGAATAAGATTTATAGTAACGTAACACAATACAGGAGCTTCGGTCAAACGGTACTCTAAAGGAGATATATCGGTAAAGGAAGTCGTTATTTAAGAGATAAGTACATCTTATAAAGTGACTTACGTCGCTGTGAGTGATACTGTATTTATTCTCGGTTGTGTTCGGCGATAAAGTTTTCCTATTGAAGATCCAACTGAAACGCGGCAATGGAGATCCTCGCGCTTTGCAGTACAAATGGACGCTTATTCCTTTGTTCGCCGCTGCCTTTCGCGTCAACGGGGTGTTCGTCATTTCCGGTTTAACTGCGCATAAAAGTTGAGTGAATTCTTTATTACGCGCTTTCCGATACGTCGCGCGCGAATAGCGCGTACAAACATATTTCGCGATATTTCGTATATATTGCGATTTCCATACCTCGAAATAATTCCTTTCATTAAAATACAATCAAACAGTGAAATTTTTGTGGCAATTACAACTACAACGACACGTTAATAATTCACCAGTTATTTATCAAGCATAATGCATTTATTGCAATTATGAGAATAGCAATATTATTTAATTATTAATAATTCAATAATACTATTTGATAATATTTAATTATTTTTCACTAACTTATCGTTAATTGTTTAGTTTGAAAATATTGAAAATAAATGAATATATTAGTAGTCAATATTTTATCACAAACTCTCTAATAGGCTCTCAACATTTTACTTTGGGTTTATTTATACATTAAACGCTCTTAGTCTTCTTTTTTTTTTTTAAATACGGTTATAACTAATTTCCGCATTAATTAAGCCGGTCACCACTGCTAGAGGATGACAATTAATTCCAGGCGACGTATGGCGATTAAATTACCGCGTGATATAGGATAATTAAATTCTATCGATACTGACGAGTTTTTATCGTACGTTTAAACGTATCTATTTAAAGCTTGACGGGATTATTAAATAATCAAGAAAGAAAAAAATTTGTACGTACAATTAGTAATAAACAGGATAGGATCCGATGTTACATTGCCGATGCCGTTGTTGACTTTGCACAGATACTCGCCGACGTCTTGCTGGCTAGGACGTTCTATGTGAAGGTACGACGTTCGATTTACGAAAGATGTCGAGTAACGTCCTGGTTCCAGATTTGATCCTACTTTTTGCCACGTGACGAATTCGTCGCCGATCGGGCTGCCGTCGATTTCACAGAAAAGTTTCGCCTCGATACCCGGTGGATAAACTATCCCCGACGAGGAAATGCGTTTGATTTTAGCCGGATCTGCGAAGATATTAGGAGTAGAACAATGAATTACGATTTACATTTACAAGAAACAATTTTTTAAAAAAAGAATTTTTTGAATTTTTATTTAATAGGAAAATTATGGAAAATTAGAACAACGAATTAACGAAAAATAAAGAAATTGGATACGCAATAATTATATAATTATAAATACAAATGGAAAGGGAAGTAATTACTCTAATTATTTGTAAATTTTAAAAGTAATCAATAATTTTTCAAGAGATTAAATAATGCTAATGTAGCCTGAAGTTGATTGTAATGAGATTGAATTGTTATTTGATCGTGAATTAATAATCGCATGATAACGTATACTCACATTGCACGGTCAGATTTAGCTGGTAAAAAGTGGTTCCTTCCTTGTTCAGCGCTTCGCATATGTACGTGCCGGCATCGTGACGATCCAATTTGGTGATATTTAGCGTGGAACCGTGCGCGGTCACTCTCCTATTGCTACTAACTATCGGTAGACCGTCTCTTGTCCACGTATATTCCGTTGTATTAGGGTTGCCCCTCGCCGATACGGAAATCACAAAGGGTTCTCCTTCCAGACCGGTTAATTCGAAAGGGTCTAATGGCGAGAATATCGGTTTGTCTACGGAATAAAGAGAAGTTTAAATGGTATTGTTATGTATCGTATTTAATCGAGCAATATGTTAAAAATATTGTTTTAAATTAAGATATTTTTTATACAATTTTTAAATATAAGCCGTTTTTTTACCGTACTCCGACAATAATGTGTGAAAATAAATAACAAATTATTTCTTGTCTCTTCAATATTTATATTTTTTCAATTTATTACTGCCATAGTATATAATACCGCTGCATTGTTGCAGCACAACGAGATATTTTCACGGTATATGCCGAGAAATTTACACGAACACGATCGCGAATATCCAGAGGGATACCGAGAGACGCTACCGTATATACGCGTTCTGCGGCGAGATTTCCGGGTTGAACGCTCTCGTCGGGCACGATCGCGCGTGCGTGCGTGCATGCTGATCTCCGCGGATTAAATCGTTAAGAGCTATCTACTTAGGTGCATACTCACACAACACGTCCAGCGTCGTAGCGTCGTGGATAGACCTCCCCAATTCGGTGTTCTTGGCCTCGCAGGTGTACACCTCGCCGTTCATGTCTTCGGTTAAGTCGAGCGAGAGCTCAACGAACGATAGGTAGCCGCCGTGTAATCCGGGCTTGGTGCCGTTCCTGGTGCCGGTTACCGGTATCCCGTTCTTCCACCACGACATCTCGGCAGCGGGATTGCTGCTGCTGGATTCGCAGATTATGCGTCCTTCTTGACCGGCGTGGAAGTCCTGGGGTTCGCGGTTAATCTTCACCCTCTCGGGCGGGACTGTGAAAAAAAGCGGACAATCCACGGTTAAAATATCGCTAATTCGACTATAGCGACTTAGATTTGCGTTAAAGAAACGAGAATAATTATAGCATGCTCGATCTTTTTTATATCTCCATCTCTTCTTACTAAAAAAACTTATCACTCGATCAATGAATAGAACCTTGATAAAAATGTATAATTAAGTTTTGAAAATAAATATATAGGATAAATTATGTCTTACAATTGACTTTTAGCACGAGAACTTTGAGCAGGGGTATCTCGGTAGCGGAATTTGTCGCTTCGCATCGCACATGGGCATTGTTGTCAGACGCGTTGACGAGTATCGCTAACTCGCTGGAGACAGCATGATTTCGCTGTCTCACTGTGCCAAGTGAGACCTGCAATATAAAATAATGTGTCAACACAATGATTCATATTGTGACGGATTTTAGAAGCGCGAATTTATGTTAAAATGCCGTAAAAAATTTTAAAAAAGTTTGATCCGAGAAAATGAAGTAAGTTTATAATTCATGGCTTCAAACCGCTTCCAAAATGGATAATTCTTACGAACTATGAGACTTACTTCAATTTTGCTTGAAATACTTTAATTTTTAATAAAAAAAGTTTCAAGGAACGTAATTTTTAATAGCTATAATTTTAAAGCATAAGTTTTATATTCCAAAATTTTTAATTTAAAGCATTATTAAAAATTTAAAGCCGACAAAATTTCAAGCAATGTTAATCTTCGGATGCATAAAATAATTTTCGTATTTGATCAAACAGTATATAAGTACGTCGGAAAAATTCCGGAATTAAGTAATTAATCGTGAAGCTAATGTTATTTCCGGTATTATTATTCTTTTTAACAAATAGTACAAAATAGCTTTGTGTGTGAAGAATAGAATTACGAGCTTTTGCGTTTAGTGCTTTATGCCTTTTAAGTCTGGGCGATAATCCTCCACAATCGTGTCGCTCGATTTCAACGTACCTTGCGGTCGTTCTTGTACCATGTTAACGTGGCCAATGGATTACCCGCCGTGGCGATGCACATGAGCTTTAGCACTGTCCCGGCCACTATTGTCGTGCCCTCTTCGTATCCGGTAACGCTTAGTTTCGAAGGTGGATCTACAACGTCGGACAAAATTAAATATTTTCGATTGTCCTATTATAAATTTTCGATTCTTATCTCAATCATAATATTATTATTAAACTATAGCTATATAACTATAGTATTGTTTCGCATGTCTCATTGTAGTATAAATGTATTTATATTTTACAGTGTCGGGAGTGCCGTGCGATTTTCATATTCGAATAAGTCGCGAGCAAGGCGCACGCCGCGAATGTGTGGACCGTTGAGAAGAGAAGGAGGCCTAGGAGGCATCGGGCGACAGTAGAATAACAATAGGGTAAGTAATTTATCACCTGTATAATTCTGCATAATAAATTTTTTTCATTACTTTAATATTAGTTAAACATTCGATAAAGGGTTTATCATAATTTGTAAGGAGATTATTTGTTGAATCCGGTTATATCGCTGGACACGAGTGGCATTCGTTACAGTCACGGATTGCCGGGCGGTATTATTGATTGCAGACCAACTAATTGTTTAGTATATTCAGATAGCGAGTAATTTTAATGCATGTAATTACAAGCTGAAAACGCAGTTGATTATTCAAGGATTATTTATTTACGGCGGAAATTAATGTCGGTCGATTACGGTTGTGTTATTGCGCGAATGTATCATGCGCGCTACATGACGTTATGTCGAATATGTTTAATGAATTCCGACCATCGGATTCGTGGGAGCGTATTGCGTATGCACGTTTCGGGACCCCGGATAACGGCGGTGCGGTCGATTAATTTGTCATCGCATGCCGCGAAGATGTCAGCGGCAACGGCCATCGGCATTATCGTTTACCCAATTTCCTCCGAACGCGTTACAAAATGATCGTTGAGGAAGCGAACGACGGAATCCATAATTTTGCCAGCACACTGTATACTTAGGGAAAATATCCGCGCGTTATAAGACGTTCCATCTTGGAGAGTACTCGTTATTTTTTTAAAACCGTATCTAAGGCAATTTCGCTCTAACATGCTGCGTCAAAACCGTGTATTATCCGGCAGAAATGGCAAGAAATAAATAGCGCCTATGTCATGAATAGAAGATAGAGAGAGAGAAAAAAATCTTTCTATTTAATAATGTTATTTCAGATTTGCATTTTAATTATTCTACATATTTTATGTGTTTTCACGTTCAAATATGAAATGGAATATTTTTTTTTTCACCGAAAACCCCCATGGGGGTTTAATTACTTCCGCAAATAAAGCCCCAGGGGTGTAAATAGTTAATCAAACTTTGTTTTCCGGTTAATTTCAGTAAAGTTCATCAC